CTCTCTCTCTCTCTTTTCCTCTCACCGGCACCACTCACTCTCACTCTCTCTCTCGCCCTCTCACCGGCGCCACTCACTCTCACTCTCTCTCTCTCTCGTCGGCGCCCTTATTCTCCCGACGCTCTCTCTCTCTTTCCCGGCCCTCGCTCTCTTCTCCCTCTCTCTTTCTCTCTCTCTCTGTGGCTGGTTCTGCCGAAACAACAAGCAAAAAAAAAAAAAATTACATTGAAAACGGGAGAAATAGAAGGAGTAAGGCTCCATCAACTAATTTGAGGTAAAACTCCTTAAAATCTACTCTTTGATTTGAATTTCAAACTTGAGGAAGTGAGATTTTGGTTAGATTTGATGAATTTTGATTAGGGTTTAAATTTGGATAAATTAGAATTGAACTTGGATTAAATTTGGGAATTTTTCAGTTATTGAACTTATTGAAGTGTTTAAAAACTGATTTTATTGATTTCAAAATTGAATTCAAACTGTAGGTTTTGGTATTTTTCTTCCTGCTGTCGGAATGCTGCCGAAATTCTTTAGAAAACTTATTTTGAGCTAAATTTCAATTTGGAACCAAATTAACTGTTTGAGTTTTGATTTTTAAAGAACTCCAAATTGAATTATGAAATAAGTTGTAAACTTTGAATTTAGGCCGAAGCACACTAATAGGAAATAATTATACATAATTGAACTTGATTTGTTTTAAGAATGAGGATTGTGTCCTAAAACTTTATTTTGTGACAATGTTAGTTGAAGGATTAGATTAAAAGCCTTGAGGAAAGCAGATACTAGGATAACGAAAGGCTAGCCCAGGTTTAATATCCGAGAGGTAGGATATTCTTGTACATATCCTTGATAGCATGAATAATGCTATTGAGTTTCTAATAATTTAGAAATGAGATTTTAAAGAGTTTTCTTTCTTAAAATGAAATATTTTAAGAAATGATAAAACGCATGGTGGCCACAAAGACTGGGATATGGGAATCGTATCCTTGGGGTCAGGTCCCGAATCCCGTACGGTCCACTTCTTGCTCAGTGGTATTATTATGGCTCTGCATATTTTCATTATACATATATTTTACTACTATTACATGCGTATTTCCTTTCTTTAAAGGATGATCGGTTTTGAGTGTATGTCTTCGGACCGTGAGTACTTTAATTATTAAATTTTCATAGAATTATATCCTATTGGGCCTTCCGCTTATTTTTTTTATATTTTCAATGTCTTAAACCCCCCTCCAGAGTTAGCGGTTTAGATTTATAGCATGACGAGTGGATGCTAATGGATTGAAGGCGTGAGCTTCAAAGTTGTTAATTTGTTTCGAATTTACAGTTTTTAATTATGAGATGTACTGTATTTCTGTATATAAACTATATTGGTAGACATTGTCCTAGAGTTGTACTATTTTCCTTAGATTTTATGGAATGTTTTAAATACTGTTTGTAAAAGAAAGACTCCAGAGTAATATATTTTAATATCTATTTTGGTATTTTTATATTTTATTTCATTTTCATGGATTTTTCTTAATTAATCCAGTTTAATTAAGTTAATTTTTTTTAATTATATCCCAATAATCACGACCCTATCCTTAGGATAGGATTAGTGGTGTTAAACGTGTCGTGCTAGGCCGGCATGACACGTCCAACACCAGGCCCGTGACGGGCCTGGGCCGGGCCTGATGAGAAAAACTTATGCCCGGTCCATGCCCGCGGCCTTAGTCCATAAGGGCTAGGGCCGGGCCTGGGCCCAAACCCTTCACGGGCTGGCCCAACAAATTGAATTTTTTTAAAAATTTAATTAAAAAAAAGAAAATATATCATATGCCCCCAAAAGATATGATTTTATTGAATTGACATAATAGGAATAAGTACACATAAATGACTGCCTTGTTAAAAACCTTGCCAAGTAAAACTCGTGGGGAGATTGAGACAAAACCTTAGCGAAGGAAAAAAGAGTGCAGCAGCTAGGAATAGTAAATTACAAACCTAAGTGCTTCGAGAAGATTCTGTTATTTCTAAGTTAGAAAAATATTCTTGCATTGAATCATCTGTGTATTGTTGTTTTCGTCTTCTGGCATCTTCCCAGTCTTTAATGCACATTAGTCCCTCCGAGATATCTGGATGCATTCTACTTCTCTTCTCGTCAAGAATTCGGTTGCTTGCGCTAAATGCTTGCTCTGATGCTACCATTGACACTATAGTTGTCAGAATATCACGAGCTATTACAGACAGTGTTGAAAAGCGATCGCTCTTGCTCTTCCACCACTGTAAGATGTCTAGTTTATCGTTATCGATTACAAAATTTACTTCAAACTATTTTACTAGTTCGGTAGACACTTGTGTTGATGACGATCCTGTCGTTTTCTCTTTCTTCTTCAAGAAACTCCACGACGATCCTTTAGGCCCCGAACTGCAAGTTGACGTCGAAGTTCCCTGTTATTTTTGACATGTGCCATATTTTGCTTCATACAAACTAAAAACCTTTTATAACATTCTCTTAGCGTCAGTAATAGTTAGTTGCATATCTATTTCTAAATTTTCTGCGGTAGCAATCATCAATGAGTCAGTCCCATCTACTCCGCACCTAGGATCTAAAATGGTTACCAATGCATATAACATAGGATAACCTGACCAATAACTTTTAAATTTTTTTTCCATTAACTTAACTATGTCTCCAAAAAGTTTTGTATCCCTATAATAAGAAAATGTTTCTGAAATATTAAATAGTTGATGTAAAGCTAATGTGCAGTAGGATAATAAACTTCACAAAGTAATTCAGTATCATTGTAAAAAACTTCTAGAAATTTAAAAAAATACTCACCAATCTGCCAATCTGTATCGAAAATTAAAAGTTTATCGTTCTTATTGTTTACGTACGTCGTGATAAGCTACGAATAAGGGAGTGCTGCCTTCAACATTAAATAGGTGGAATTCCACCTATGTCTTACGTCAGTTAGAAACTTTCTTAGGCGCAGCTGACTGTTCCTGTAATATTGTTTAAATTCTTGGAGCCGAGCTCCAGAATTAGATATGAATGATAATGATTCTCTAATATTTGTTAGATTAGATGAAATATGTTCAATTCCTGCCTGAACTACTAAATTAATTATGTGACATGCACACCGTTGATAAAAAATTCTCCCCCCCCCCCCTAAACGTTGAACCTAAACGCTGGTTTCAAACTATGTTTAAACATGCTTAATTGCAGCCATGTTAGCTGGCGCATTATCAAAAGTAATAGTTAAGACTTTATCTTCTATCCCATAAAACCCAAAAATTTCCATTATTGTACTAAAAATAGATGACACGTTATGAGGATATGGACATAAACGAAAACTAATTATTCTTTTTTGTAAAACCCATTCGCCATCAACATAATGCGCCGTGACACCTAAATATCCATAGATCAGAAGTACAAGAGACAGTAGCATTAAAAGTCTTAAAATTATCAACAAGAGATTGTCTCATTGCATAAAACACTTTCATGCAATCAGAACGAGTTATGTTTCTACTTACCCGTTTAAATTGTAGGCAAAAAGCCGTCTGGATGAACTCTTCCAACGACGCATCATCTACAAAAGAAAGAGGCAATTCGGCACTAGCTAGAAATTTAGCTAGTGCCTCATGAGCACGTTGTGCATCGTATGTAAAATTTTGTGATCCCTGTGATGTGAGTGATAGTGTTTGTTGGCGGGAGTCCACACCCCCACCTTGGTGCAATGGTAGACATACTTTCCAATGTCTATTCAGATGACCAGTAGCCCTACCTTTTTTATTAGAAAAGTGTTTTTTACAATATTTACATACTGCATGAATTTCCATTTCACCTGTTTTTGGATTTGGTCGGGGCTCCTCGGTGAAATGCTGCCATGCCGGAGAAGTTCGCGGTGTCGGTCTTTTTTCCCTGCTGCGTTCTCTAGCTTCCTCATTGTGCACTGAAGCATTATCTACCGGAGCATTTTCTGGTTTAGTGGGGGTGGGGTTAGGAGGCATCATTTCATTCTCAAAAAATGCCTTATCATCAAGCTCAGGAAGAGGAGTGAAATCAGGAAAATTTGATGCGGCCATTTTCTGAAAATTGATTGAACGTGAACTTTGTAAATGAAAGAGCAAGAAAATGAGTGATCGCGAGAAAAAAACTTAGAATCAAAATGAAAGAGATAAGATGAGAGATAGAATGAGAGTAAGATGAGAAGTTGAGAGTGAATTGTTGTATGAGATTTATGGTGGAATTAAGGGGTATTTATAGGAGATTTTTTTAGCATTTTCGGATTCTTAACGTTGGGCCCTTTACGGGCCCAACGAGCGGCCCGTGACGTGCCTAATGGCAAGCCCGTGACGGGCTAAACAGGAGGCCCGTGACGGGCCAAACGGGAGGCCCGTCACGGGCCGACTGTTGGGCCCGCAAAGGCCCAAGAGTAGCATTTAGAATGGGCCGTTTTGCAGGCCGTTTCGTGAGCTTGGGCCGGGCCGAACTGGGCTTGGGCCGGGCTGCGGCCCTTCACGGGCTTGAGCTGCGGGCTAAGAAGCCGAGGCCCAGCCTTAGCCCATTACATGTGCCGGGCCGGCACGGCCCATAACAGTAGAGGACCGGGTCATAACAAACCCGACACTATTACGGGCTGGGCCGGGCCATCCATGAATAACCCGGCCTATTTGACATCTCTACTTAGGATCATGACAGAACCAATCTAGACTGACTCTCTCTTTTTATAGAGGCCGGCCCGAAATGTCTCTTCGGGCCACTGGCAGCCCGTCCAAACTTACACCTTTACCTCACTGTGTACTATCTGAAAGTTGAGCAATTCGATTTACCACATTCAAATCCAATCTAAAAAATATGACTGAACTGACTTTGAAACTTCAAAGCATTCCAATTTGACACGCGTCAAACCAAATCGGCCTCGACTTTGGAGCCCACCGACGTGTCCTACCTGCACGTCCTTATGTCTTAACCCGTCCAAGCCTCCAGGAGAATATATGTATCTATATATATATATATATATATGTACAATCAATCCATTCCTCCAAAGCACAAAAACACAAGGCCATTATTTCTCACCCTGCTTTTCTCGACGAGGCTCTCAATTGCAAGCAAAAGGAGCCTATACAATGAGGCTGCTGAAAGTAGCGACCTGTAATTTGAACCAGTGGGCGATGGATTTCGACGTCAATTTGACCAACATCAAGGAATCCATCGCCGAAGCTAAGGACGCCGGTGCCGTCATTCGCCTCGGTCCCGAGCTCGAGATCACCGGCTATGGCTGTGAAGACCATTTCTTGGAGCTCGACACTGTTAACCACGCGTAATCTTCGATTCCTATTCGATTTGTTACGAAGATTAAAATTTTTGTATGTTTGGATTTTGAAAATGGAGTTTGATTTCGTATTTCAATTTGCAGATGGGAATGTTTGAGAGACTTACTGGTTGGAGACTGGACTGATGGAATATTGTGTAGCTTTGGCATGCCTGTGATCAAAGGCTCGGAGCGGTATAATTGTCAAGTCCTTTGTTTGAACCGAAAGATCGTCATGATTCGGCCCAAAATGTGGCTTGCCAATGATGGGAATTACAGAGAACTTAGATGGTTCACGGCTTGGAAACAAAAAGACCAACTCGTTGACTTTCAGCTGCCCTGTGAAATTTTCGAGGCTTTGGGACAGAAGTCTGTGCCCTTTGGTTATGGTTACATTCAATTTCTGGACACGTAAGTCTGAAGTTACTTTCTCGTTTCTTGTTTCTTAGATTATGTTTTTTTTCTTCCGGATAATTATTTACACCGATAGGACATAGTTTTGAGCCGTTAGATATTCGTTAGATCCTGTTAAATTGTTAGGCCGGGAAAAACCAGAAATGAGGCAAGAATGAAGATAAATGGACACAGTAATTTTATGTCGAAAACCCCTAACCAATTATTGTGTCCACTTTATCTTCATTCTTGTCTCATTTCTGGTTTTTTCTGGCCTAAGATGAATTGTCGTACTTTAAATTCTGATTTAATTTAACAGTTAAAAACTGTATCTGAATTTTATCTAACAGCTAAAAACTCTTATCTTACAAATTTTTTTAATACCCTGACACAAAATTCTCCTCCTTTCCCGGTTGCTATCCACATTGATTTTTTAGTGAGTTAAACAAGTATATTACTGACTAAGTACCATTTAAATGAAGAGATGGGTTGTGCTTGTTTACGTTCCTAGTAAGATTTTTTTAATGATATGCTAAAGGTTAGCATGCTTTTTCCCCCTTCTTAGAGCTGTTGCAGCTGAAGTTTGTGAGGAGCTCTTTACTCCGTGTCCCCCCCATGCTGAGCTGGCATTGAATGGGGTTGAAGTGTTCATGAATGCAAGTGGGAGTCACCACCAATTAAGAAAGCTTGATGTTCGTCTTCGTGCTTTTATAGGTGCTACTCACACTCGCGGTGGGGTTTACATGTACGGCAATCACCAAGGATGTGACGGGGGACGTCTCTACTACGGTATGGACTTCTTCTTAATTATTTTTTGAACACTATATTTGATCAAAGGGCACAATGCCTTTTTTTTTTTGGGTTCAATACTCTTTTCTATAGTTTTATGCCCTTTTGAATGACTTGTTGGTGGGTGTGACGGGGGACGTCTCTACTACGGTATGGACTTCTTCTTAATTATTTTTTGAACACTATATTTGATCAAAGGGCACAATGCCTTTTTTTTTTTGGGTTCAATACTCTTTTCTATAGTTTTATGCCCTTTTGAATGACTTGTTGGTGGGTGTTTACTGTTGTTCTTTCATATGTGGTAGATGGATGTGCTTGTGTCGTTGTAAATGGAGATTTAGTTGCTCAAGGCTCACAATTTTCTTTGAAAGATGTTGAGGTTGTCGTTGCCCAAGTAGATCTAGAAGCGGTATGTATATTCTGAACTCCTTTTGTGGTGAAGTGTTTAATGTTAGATCTTAATGCCAATCCCCATTTTCATATAGACCGGCAATGTTGTTATGGTAAAATAAACGTTAATAACCGTAGATGAAACCTAATAAAAGTGTCCTGCACATGTTGAAATATAACTATCTAATATCCATTAACAGAAACATTAATTCTAATATTCCTCCACCTTTGAAAAAAATCAAATGTTCGTCTCTTTGTGGGTGCAATAGGCATATCACTGTTTTGTTTCTTCTCTTCTTTTATACGTTGCTTCATGTATGTATGCATCTATGAAAAATTAGTCAAAGCTTACATTTCTGGGGGACTTGGTTCTTGGACTGAGATCACCCTGTTACACAAATTTGTGTCATTTTTTTTTTTTAGTGAAATTCCATTTTACACATACTTTAATTCCTTTTAACATATTGTTAAATGGCAGGTTGCTAGTCTTAGGGGATCTATAAGTAGCTTCCAAGAGCAAGCAAGCTGTAAAACCACAGTTGCTTCAGTGATGGTTCCATACAAGCTGTGTCAGTCCTTTAACCTGAAAATGTGCCCTTCAAGTCCACTTAAGGTAAGTTCTGGACAATTGACGGGCTATGCAACCATCAGAAGTCTTAGCTTAATCCCTTATTGAAGTTCAATTGAAATAATAGATTGTTTTGATTCCAACTATTTCGTAGGAATGATATCATTTTTCTTTCCTCTTAAGTGTTTTGTTAATGATTCTGATCGACTGACTACATTAGAAAGGAGATCTGTAGCTTTTTGTTAGAGTTTGATTTCATTTCGCCTGAAAATGTTAATGTCCTTCATTTGATCAATTTTTTTTTCCTTGTTTGCTTATGACAATATGTCATATTTATGGCTCTATTGTGCCAGGCATTCATCTGCACTAAATTATATATTGCTGATGCATAGATTAATTACCACTGTCCTGAGGAAGAAATAGCCTACGGTCCTGGTTGCTGGTTGTGGGACTACTTACGAAGAAGTGGAGCTTCTGGTTTTTTGCTTCCTCTTTCTGGTGGAGCAGATAGCTCCTCTGTAGCTGCTATAGTTGGCTGTATGTGCCAGCTAGTTGTTAAAGGTTTGTTTTCTTAATATGTATGGATCAAGTTCTGGACACGTGGATGGGTCAGGTCATCAAACCCAACATGCAGAGAATTTCTTTGAAACTTGGTTTTTACGGAAACCCAACATGTTTCGTTTGACAAATAGGAATCTTATGTCCTGATCTAACATTACAACTGTGTGTTCTGGTTGGGAGAAGAGGGGTATGACCTTCTGTATTTACATTACTAACTAGCAAGGTGTACGTTTGCAGAAATTGCAAATGGGGACGAGCAAGTTAAAGCTGATGCTGTAAGGATTGGCCATTATACTGACGGGCAGTTTCCTACCGATAGCAGAGAGTTTGCAAAACGCATATTTTACACAGTATTTATGGGATCAGAAAACAGGTGGGTGTACTATGCAGTCGAGGGTTATGAGAAAAATATGTTGTTTCACGTACATCTTGAGTACTATATCTTTTGTGTTATGTTGGTGCTTGGGTATGTTGAAGCAACCAATGATACCTTACAAGAGTTCCTATATAAATCCACAAAATATCTTAGAGAGAGATACCAAAATTTATATCTATAGAATTTTTCTTCCTTGTGTGGTTTTAATTGGTTATATGGTACAGATCTTATTTTTTAACTTCCTGAGACCATGCTAAATACATGTACGATATGAATTCCTTTTTCATTTTTGTTTTCCGTTTCCAGATTCTTTTCCAGGTATATGCTTCAATATAACATAAGTTGGTAATGTTTCTTCATTGCAGTTCTGAAGCCACAAGGTCACGGGCAAAGGTGCTGGCAGATGAGATTGGCTCATGGCATCTCGATGTTCCCATAGATGGTGTTGTGTCAGCACTTTTATCTTTGTTTCAAACTGTCACTGGGAAACGGCCACAATACAAGGTAACAGGGGAATGAGCTCTAATCCGCCCTACACAAACAGATTTATCCCTGCAGCCTATATGATGCCTTGGGCAAAAAGTAGTCAGCTTAATTATTTCCTAATTTGAAAATAGATAAATATGAACTTTTAGACTTGAAATGCCAAGTTGGAAATCTCATTCTTAAACTTCTTTTGTTCTCTTGCTATTTGCAAACGAAATATCTAAATGTTGTAAATGAATAGTACAATATGATATAAGGAGTTCAGAATTGAACGTTAGGGAGTCAATAATTGCGTCAAATCTAGTCCATAATCTGCTTTTCCTTCCCCAGGTGGATGGAGGATCAAACACTGAGAATTTGGCTCTGCAAAACATTCAAGCTCGCATTAGAATGGTGCTAGCTTTTATGTTAGCGTCACTCTTGCCTTGGGTTCATGACAAACGTGGGTTCTATCTTGTGCTGGGTAGCTCTAATGTGGATGAAGGTTTGCGCGGTTATCTAACAAAGGTACATACATACATATTTCTATATATATATATATATATATATATATATATATATATATATTATTGAAAGAAATCGACTGATTTAAATCTGGGTGAATTCCTCTATTTTGAGCGTGTTAATTGAAAAATCGAGCTCTCTACTGGGCTTGGGAAAATCTAAATGCTTGCAAGGGCTCGAAGTTTTTAGACAGTTATTTCCATAATGCTACAAATGAGAGCCCGTGACTGTTTTCCCTGCAGTACGATTGCAGCTCTGCAGATATAAATCCAATTGGAAGTATTAGTAAGCAAGATCTCCGAGCATTTCTACGATGGGCTGCCATCCATCTTGGTTACTCGTCCTTGGCAGACATCGAAGCAGCTCCACCGACTGCAGAACTGGAACCTATACGTTCCAACTACTCTCAGGTATCGTCTTTTGCTTAACATTTGGTTCCACACTTCCGCCTACAAAGCATTAAAGATAACACTGATTTCACACTCCGCTTAAAACAGCTGGATGAAGTGGACATGGGAATGACATACGAGGAACTCTCAATCTATGGAAGGTTACGGAAAATCTTCCGCTGCGGTCCTGTATCCATGTTCAAGGTTTAATCACACATTTTTCTATTTTTTTCATCAATTAACCTCGAGATTTTTTTTTCTTTGCTCAAAAAGAAGAGACAGATTTTCACTTCTTATTCCTTGTTGGCTGGCCGTTGCAGAATCTTTGCTACAGATGGGGTGCAAGGTTGACGCCGTCAGAAGTTGCTGAGAAAGTGAAACACTTCTTCAAGTACTATTCCATTAACCGGCACAAAATGACTGTTCTGACACCTTCTTACCACGCCGAGGTATGTTGTTTCTGGAAGATCGTAGTTGAAAGCAACTCATAACGTCAATAAAAGGCCTAACTATAACAAATCTTCTTATGCATTGTCTCTCTTGAGCAGAGCTATTCCCCCGAGGATAATCGGTTCGACCTACGCCAGTTCCTTTACAATGCAAGATGGCCGTACCAGTTCCGAAAGATTGACGAGCTTGTACATGAGTTGGATGGTGAGAAAATTCATTTGGAAGAACCAAGTGAGCACGAAACGTTGGGAGTCACTTCACATGGTGGTGGGGGAATGGGAGTTGCCGCAGCAGGCTCAGGCAATCCAAATGTTGGATTTTAATTTAGAATAAAACAAAAACAAAACTAGAATAAAAAAGTCAAGTCAGTGATGGCCAATAAAGCCCATGTGTTTCAGTTTTTGGTGACGCTATTTTGTTCATTTTACAAATTAGTGTGATCCAAAATTAGTGTTAATTTGCATTAGTGGAAGGTTATTCTAACCAAGTTACTCCCGTTGCCAAGAGGGGAGCTGCCCCGACCCAAATGGCCTGGGGTTGAAGCTTCACATTAACAAGCATGTGAAAGGAAACCATTCTTATTATAACACAATTTCGGTATACATGACTTGCCCATTTTATTTTATTTTTTTAGATTAGTACATGCGACTGTATAACCTCATATACAGTTTTCAAATAAAACAACATATTATGAATATGCAAAAACTATATTATGTCTGATTCACCAAACAATAGCATTCACCACTTGTCTCTGGTAAAAAAGTTGTTCTCTTGCAGATCCCCTTAATTGTTGTTTGATACTTTGCTTTGCATTTCACGGTACAAACCATATCATCCCAACATTGTATCAGGGGATAATTCAAAGGAATTAACGCTACCCTGCATTCTGCCATTGGAAGAGAACCAAAAAAACAAAAACAAAAAACAAAAAAGGGGGGGCTGTAATGCATAGGCGAATAATTAAATGATAATGAGTTGTTTACAATGCATAAATTTGCTCAGCTTTATGAATTCTTGAATCTATTGTCAAATTGACCTTTGAAAATTTATGGGTTGTTTTGATTTTTTATAAGGCTTTGAAATACTTGTAAGGTTGAATCGTATTTTGTAAGGAGTGAATGCCTGAATGAAGATGATATATATTAGTGTGTTCTAGGCATTAAGTGATGTTACCAAAACTGTATAGAACAGTAATGTGAGTACAGAAAAATAATGTATCTAACTATAGATTTTTTTTTTTAAAAAAAGGTGCTTCTATGCATGTATGTTCGTCATTATCTGCAGCATGCATGTATGTGTTCATATATAGAAAGTCATTGAAAACAAAGTGATCCTTTTTTCTTGAAGAAGGGGAAAACAAAGAAGATAATCTTTTCTCCTTGACGTACATGTGTTCTCCAAAATGATGGGTGTGTTTCGAATTGATTTTTCTTTTAAATATAAAAACGAAAATGATATGTAAACTGTGTTTGTTTAGCAAATAATTGAGTTTGAAATATGATTTTGTTTTGAAGGAAAAACAGTTTGACTCAAAAAAAAAATATATATATATATATATATATTGTATAGAAACTACCTAAGGGATTAAACAAGATGAAACAAATCACGATCACTAGTGTCAATGAACAAACAGGCTTATAACTTTTAGCCATTTTCGCATTGCAATACGATGCAAAGAACAAGTACTTAATAGCAATTTTAAGATTAGATTAATGCACATATCGGATAGACTATAATTATTTCGAAAAGGCAACAAATTAGGATAAATACAAAAATGATATTTTAATGCTTAATTATTGACTTTTTATCCGTACATATGAACTAATTATTATAAACGAAGCTAGTAGTTCGATACGACGATTAGAAAAGCCAAATAACTTGTAATATACTACAAAGTATATTACATGATGTTCAGACGATACAATAACTAGAAAAGCCAGCAAATCATAGAGAATACCTGTTATTATTGTCATTTTTTTTATGAGTGAAACCATAAATATTATTTTATATTCATTTTATAATTCAAGTTATATCATTAGAATATTTTTTCTCATAAAACTTCAAATTCAATTTTTTTACTACAGTATTTTTCTCTCATATACACAACTCAAGTCATGTAAAGAACAAGTCTGAATTTAAAAAACTTTTTTACTACAGTATTTTTACACAACTCAAGTCATGTAAAAAAAACAAGTCTGTAGTTAACTTTTTAAATGCCTAAAATATCCACCAATTTTATAAAATATATATTTGTTTTCTTTACTCTATTTTCTCTCATGTTCATCTTCTCAAAACTTTCATTTATAATTAAATAATCTCTAGATTTTTTTTTTAAGGCTGAATAATATCAAGAAATTTTAACCTCCCTTGTCTACATTTGCGTTAAACTTTTCTTTTACCCCCCTTTTGGACTCTCTTTAAATTCATTGCCTCACAGAATAACCAATTAATACCATACAAACGAGCATAGAATCAAAAACTATGATCTGAGAAAGCGCCATGTTGACTGAAAATCTAAAACTATGATCAATGATCAGGAAACCGTATCGATTCGTCGCTGCTGGGAAATCGACGAACTCTGTAATAATAAAACTGGAAAACTTCAAACAGCACATCACATGCAAAATGATGTTCAGTCATGCCATATCCAATATCCCAAACACGTCCGGATGTAGTGTTACTTATCAAGTTGGGATTTTCCAGAACTTCATAACAATTAAAGAAGCTCCAAGAAAACTGATACTAAGAGATGTTTTCTTTACAGATTAGACTGCTTAGCCCCAGCTCCAGGTATCGAAACTCTCACCCCGTTGGTCGCTCGTAGTCACATCATGCCTTCTGTAATAAAATATAGTTAGCTCGAAATTTGACCTCAATATGTGCAGCAAAATTCGACTTGAGAATGGATCAATCTTTTTACCTGCATTGGAAGGTACAACTTGAATTCTGGGGGGAGTTCCTCCTCAGAATACAGGCGGTCAGAAAAATATATACGCCTCAGGCGGCAGTTTGCATGAACTTGAACTCGCAACGTCTCGACATAGTTCGTTCCATAGGCTCTCCGGGTGAAATCAGCCAGATTAAACTGTATTTGGTTCCAGCCCTCGTCCATCTTCAGTGGCATCGTGCAGATATACGGCTTCACACGGGTCACAGCCTGTCATAGAGCACAAACACACTTGTTTAATGCATTCAGACAAAAACATTCTACTTTACACTTTTTTTTTTTTTTTTTAACAAAAAAACTTATTTTCATTGATGAAGAATACGATCTAGTTTACACTAGAATTGTCAAGCCTGCATATAACACTCCTAGAAGAACTCAAGACGTCTTTAGATAATAGAATTCAGCATTGTCCACTGTATAAATTGCTAAAAAAAAAAAAAAGATATAAATGCAATATCCCGAATCCATATACAAATCAAAGTTTGGTGTTATCTCTGTTTCTATAATCAAAATGTAAAGAATTGTTTTCCAGTAATTAACCCCGATCCTAAGTACATTTGAGAAGCATGGACGCCAATCCAAGAACCTTTAGTTTGGAGTCATACTATTTTAAGCATCATGCTTTCTGTTTGTGTTTGCTTTTAAACAGGGGTTGTATAGAATCATGTTATGAGCCAAGATTATTCCTGATGGAGCTAGAAGGATAACCAAATATATTTACCAGCTTGCTACCATTATTATATGCTATTCCTACAAGCCTTTTGTAAAGTCCTCAGATATCTAATTAACCAACAACTTGCAGAACCTATATAATGAATTGCTAGAACTTTATGTTATTTCTTTCTTTCTTTTTTTTTTTTCCTTTTTTGGTTAGGGGAACCAGAATTTATATTTGGTCCCTCTGTTTCAAGGGAAATAAAGTACTAGTTTGTAACGATCACAAACTAACAGCTATGTTTTACCAAATTGTTCTAAACAAAAAGAAAATGTCAGCAATAAATGAAACGAAGAAGAAATAAAGAAAAACATGAATAAACACGGGCAAACTTACAGACTTGAAAGTTAGAAGATCGAAAACGCCGTCTGACATTCTTATCATCCAGCACTTGAATCTCAAACGTAAAATACTTCTTCAGATTCTTTACTATCATAACCAGGAATGGTAGTTTTATACCGAGTGTTGCAGCTGGGTCAGCAGGACAAGTGATGTACGTAGACTGAATATTTGACCCAACTATTTCGAGCACATTTGACTGTATGTCCTCATCCTGTGGACGTTTTACGTGGCCATTGGCAACTGCTCAAAACAAATGAAGCACACAGGAAAGTTAAGAGAATTAAAACATCATCATGGAATAAAGTAAAGACAAATTATACCATGAAACTTCAAAGACTGTAAAACTATGTTTTCTTTTTTGAACTATTAAGATCACATTAGCATTAGAGGAGGATTAGAGCAATTTGCATGGATATCAGTTTAAACTTGAAATTTGCAAAATCTGCGCTCTAAATATATCCCGTTTGACACACTAAAAAAAATTTACTAACTTTGGTTCCTTTTAACAAAATATTTCAGAAACACTCGTGATGCACTGATGTTCAATGCTGGAGTAAAGCTCCATCAACCTTTCGAAATTAGTCATACATATTACATGGTTCACTCTGAACCAGAACCTAAAGACCCTTTAACCAGACAGCTCAAAAAATCACGATCAACCAAGGCTACCTTATAATATATCACATTGTAAGCATAAAGTGCCTCTAATCAACATATACCAAGGAGCAGTAATATATCAGTGTATCAAATTGTAATGATAAAGTGCCTCTAATCAACATATACAAAGAAGCCGCGTGCAGCCAAATAAATCAGAATAAAACTTCCACATAAGAGACACAGGAACACTTCCTAAACCAAGTAGGAGTCAAGTCTATTTCATTCTCTAGAGTTTAGGGCTTCAAATCAAAGCTCTCTTTGGGCAAACCCCGCACATGTATGAAGGGAGGGATGAGAGTTAGTTTTCAGATGCTAGCCAACATTGGTTGACCAATATCCTAGTGGTGACTACGGACTGCAGGCTTGGTTGAGCACCAAGCTGATGAGCTTTTGGTCTATCAAGAGGGGTTGGCAGCCATGGTGGCCCCGAGATCACTTGAAGAATCCAAGTAGGCAGGGGCGCAGACCCTCTAGGTCAGATGCTAACTCTGTAATTGGCCTTGGGGCTTCATTCTTTCTTCGATAAAGAGGAATATTCAGTGCAATTCTCTTCGATACGTATTGTTTTCGTTAGAAATTCCTAGGTCTTCTCAGCTTGCTAGATGCCAAAGGAAGAGGATATGTTATCGATACTCACAGCAAATAGAACAATAAAGAATGAACCAATAAACCTGAAAGATAGATTTACACCAGACAGGAAACACAATACAAATAATGCATTTCACACAGATTCAAACAAGTTGCGTTGAATAAGTAAGAAATGTGCCGGCAAGAGCCCCAATCGGAGGGTAAAAACGATTCTCACCTTCTTTATCCCAAATCTGCAAGGGCTTGCTCCTAAACAAAGACAAGAAATTAAAATTGTAAGCATCATAATTGCATCAAAGGTACATCATGCTTCAATAGGCATGAAAACCTACCCAAGGCTGTAGAGGATGGAGAGAAACCCAGATTGGAAAGTGTTCTTAAACATGTTTTTACAATCCTATTAACCTTCACCTGCAATGCAATGAAATCGCAATCTCGTTTAAATATTTTGCAATGGGTGCGTTTCGAATTGATTATGAACGAGGAGTATGTTTGATAAGAGGGAGAGATAGAGGGAGGGAGAGGTCCAATATCTTGTTTGGTTGGAGGGAGGGCAGGAGGAAGAGGAGAGGTGGAGCGGGTCCAAATAGGACTCTCTACAAAATCCTGTTTTTTCTTTGAATTCTTCTGTCTAAACCAATCAATGGTTGCAAAAAAACTTCTGATTCGGCTACAAAAATTTAATTGAGTTCTATGTTTCACATCTCTTTTCTCTAACTACAAAAGTTTCAGAAAGATTACAGACCTATAATTTTCTCCGTGAAACAGACTAAGAAAAATGAATTGAGCTTTGTTTGATTGGCCCCTCAAAATTAAAATTCAGAATCACCCATAAACGATTCAAAGATTCATACATCGGAAAGGAAATACACCCAAGAAACAAAAAAAAAAAAAAGTAGCTACAGAAGAAAATTATTTCTTTTTGCAGTCAAAATTATGATAAAACAGAAACTTCATCACAGAACTGAGAAAGGTCAGGAAAAGGTACCAAAAACCCAACCGAGAGACGGAGAAGGAGATTGCTCCTGTCGGTCTCTGGCGAAGAGGCTGCAGGTGACACAGGGGTGTTTTCGTCCGAATACACCTAAATGGTCTCGTAGAAGTTTAAAGTCAGGGGCCGGTCTGATATACGGGTTCAAACCGGCGTTTTTTATTGTGACTTGTAAAATTTAAATTTTTTATTAGAGACAAAATTAAAATGATTTACACTATTTAAAACTCATATATCAAACATACAGTAAAAGTTAGTAGCTCATTGCCCTAGAAACTAAAATAAATACAAAATGGCTGTTTACATACTCAAATCATAATTATTAATTTTAATATTTAAATTTTAAATTTTTTATAAAAAAAAAATATTATAATAGAATCAATAATTTAAATTAAATATACAAAATAAACAGCCTCAAAGACATTAATAAACGAGGAGTATGTTTGATAATAGGGAAAGGACTAATATGTTTTTTGGTTGGAGGGAGAGGAGAAAGAGGAGAGATGAAGGGGTGTGCCCTCCCTCATGACCTACTAAATTAGATCCTTTAATTGATGAATGATTCAAGGATCCATCTACTTTTAGTGTTAAAATACTATTTTACCTTCTGATAAAATTATTAATAAAAAGTTTAAATGGATAAAAAATTATCATATATCATTTTAACTCTCTTTCTATCCTACCAAACAACACGAAAGATTGCTACAATCCTTTTCATCCTTACTATTCACCATCCATCTAACTTTCACTATCATTCCTATTCGTTATTCCTACAACCAAACGGAGTCTTTAGAGTCATATTTGGTTTCAAACCAAGAGTTTTATTTTGACTTTTAAAATTCAAATATTTTTAAGAGAAAAAAACTTAATAAAATTAAAAATTATAGTTTGAACATACAAAATTCTAAGGCATCGTTGACTTCGCGAATTTGAGTTTTCAATTCGAGCTGAGATGTGACATTTTCTGAGAGTTTTTCACTGTAGCAGAAAAAATTAAATGTGATATTTTATGAGAACTTTTTACTATAGAAACTTAGAACTAAAAACTCGAATCGGTGAAATGAACAATGCCTAAAAAAACGCATTCTTTTCAAAATTGATATTTTTTTTTTGCTGCAATCAAATTTGATAATTATAACGTCACCCTTATATTTTATAAAATATAACTTTTTACCTATATAAATCTCAACCATCAATCTAACTAAAGCTTTTGATCTTAACCTTTTATTACTAAAAATCTAGGGGGTGTTCGGGGAGCAAGTTTTTGAGTGAAAAACTCAAAAAAAAAGTAACTCGAGTTACAATTTTATTCGAGTTCATGTTCTTTTAAGTTTGAACTCGAGTTTGAATTCGAGTTTAGAACTAAAACTCGAGTTCAAGTTTCCTTTTCAACTTGAGTTCAGAAACTCGAACTCAAGGTAATGAACAGTATTTTTTCAATTCTTAAAAATGCTATAACTTTTTCGTTTTAATTCTGATTGAGATGATTTTTTTTTTCTATACGTTGACAACGAAAAGACGAATAAAACTAGACCCATATATCATATTAAAATTTTTCATCAGCATTGAGTTTTTATTAAAATACTATCTATAAACAAATTTAAGTTTTGACTTACTCAAACACAAACTCAAAAAAAATTCTTATCTCAAATCATAACTCAAATATACACAACTAAACATAAACTCAAGTTACAACTTCAACTCAAGTTATGACTCAAACTGATTTTATGTGAGAGCTTTTTACTGTAGTAAAAAAATTAGATGTGACTGTTTATGAAAATTTTTTATTGTAACAAAACTTAAATTCTAAACTCGAATCGATAAAGTGAACGAGTCCAAATTACGTAACTCAAAAACATCAAAATAACGAGCCCCTATAAACCTTCAACACTGATAAAACTTAAACTGGGTCGGAACTTCATCATCCCACCCTCACCGTCGACACCTTTGGCCCCTCATGCTCTGGTCATCCTCAGACTTGAACACCGGCGGAGATTACGATCGGTGAAGTATCGACCTCGCGATCGGTGAAGTATCGACCTCGCGATCGGTGAAGAAACAGCAATTTCATTCGATGTGACCTTTTGACTACGATTCTCCAACTCGTCGCCGATAAACTTACCAATCTCCGCACTTCCCCAATCTCAAAACATCTGCGGGCACTTTCAGCATAACTCTGCCTTCTGAAATCCGACAAGAAATCGAAGATGAAAACCCGATTACTGACCAAAACACTTCCTGGTAATCATTCTTTCCTTTCTCTCGTCGAAATTTTCACAACCCAATTTCGTTATTACGCTTCTATGGCGATAAGTGGTGAAAATTCTGTTGCCAATTTGGAGAAATTGATCCAAACAAAATGTAAATCCAGAAACCTAACAGTAGAAGAAGCTTTGGGTTTCTTCAATTCCTTGATTGAAATGCGACCCATGCCCTCTATTTGGGCTTTCAATCAATTGCTTGGCTCTCTCTCCAACATGAAACATTATTCCATTGTTGTTTCTATGTATAGGGAGATAATGGATTGTGATTATATTAGTCCTGAAGTGGGTACATTGAATATTGTCATCAAATGTTTGTGTCGTATGAAGAAGGTTAAATTTGGTTTCTCTGTTTTAGCAACTATGCTTAAAAGTGGTCTTGAGTACGATGCTCCTACGATGAATACTCTGCTCCATGGGCTTTGTACCGAAGGCTCGATGGTGGCGGCGATGGATTTGTTTGATAAAATAGTTGAGATGGAAAACTTGTGTAATTTCCTTACTTACACGACCGTCATTAATGGGTTTTGTAACGCTGGAGAAACTTCAAAGGCGCTTGAGCTACTTAAGCAAATGCAAGAAGATCGGAGGATTACACCCGTTGTATATTGTTTCATACCAATCATTGACCGCCTTTGTAAAGAAAGACGAGTGGATGAGGCCCTCGGCATGTTTGAAGATATGATCAATCATGGTGTTCGGCCAAATGTTGTTTGTTATAATTCTTTAATTCACGGATTAAGCAAATCGGGTCGTTGGGAAGAAGTCGAGAGATTGTTAATCCAGATGATTGATTGCCGAATCTCACCTGATACATTTACTTACACCGCATTAATTGATTCTGTTTTGAAGGAAGAAAAATCTCAAGAAGCAATTAGATTGTTCGAGTTGATGACTAGTAAAGGTGTAGAGCCTAATGTTGTGACATTCAATTCTTTGATTTCTAATTTGTGCAAGTCTGGTCAATGGAAAGAAGTGACACGATTCTTGGAAAAAATGGCGGGTTACGGAATCTCTCCTGATATTTTCACGTTGAATGCTGTGTTGGATGCTCGCTGCAAGGAAGGAAGCATTGCAGAGGTGCTTTATCTTGTGGAAGAAATAACTGATAGAGGTGTATTGCCTGATGTGATTACCTGCGACTCCTTACTTATTGGATTGTGTTGTTTTGGTAAATTGGAAGAAGCTAAGAAATTGTTTGATGTCAAGCCCAGTTGGAAAATTTTTCCTGATATTAGAACTCTGAACATCATTTTGAATGCTCTGATTAATGAAGGTATGATAGAGAAAGCTGAAAAATTATTCGAGGCAATGATTGAACAAGGCAAAGAGTTCAATACGACAACCTACAGCACCTTGATTAAGGGATATTGTCTTCAAGGTAGAATGCATGAAGCCGAAGAGGTCTTTGATCTCATGGCGATAAAAGGTGTTCTTCCTGATACGATTTTGTATAACACCTTGATTTATGGTTACATAAAGGTTAAAAGAGTTGATGTCGCTCTCAAGCTTCTCAAGGACATGATCCAGAAAGGACTAGTGCCTAATTATGTGACACGGAAGATTTTGAAAAGCATTCATGCTCTTAAGCTTGAAGCATCCATACAGTAATTGTCAATGGGGGTGAGGTTAAGATTTGATCATTTACATTTTTATATACTACTGAGGACGTATTAGATCTAGTCCCTTTTTAAGGCGTTGAGTTCATGCACGAACACGAAGTTTAACATAGTTTTGCATGCTATTCTTTTATAGTGGTTATTTTTGGCTAAGTAAATATGCAAAGGGATTTTATAACATGATCAGGTACCAGAATTTGGAATTTGAGCAGGCTTTGATATTTCTGGCTTCACTAGATTGAATGAATGCACAAATAGTAAGATGTTGGAAACTTAATGGGTAAATGTTGTAAATTGCAGTCATAGGTTCTTCAAGTAGGGTTCCAATAAGGATAGGCAATCAGTTTACCAATTATCTTCTGCATACTTTAACATTCATTATGCAGGTATAACATAGTTCTGGAGGTCTTTCTAGGTAAAGGCGTTAGTTTCAATGTGCTTGCGACTTACGTGCTTAACTCTAGCTGTTGTTATTCCTGTATTGCTCTTTGAAAAGATTTGCTGGCTTTCTCATTCCCATTATGGGACTTGTGTTACAATCGGTCCTTGCTTTGACAGGTGCTTTGCCAGAGTATTTTGCTTGAGCACAGATGTATATTCGCCTAGGCAAAATGGGAAAACTAACGGATACCGAAACTTTTTGAGTTCCAATTTCTTATGTTCTGACTTCTGAGAGTTAGATTGAGTTTGCTCTTGAATGCAAACTCCTCTAAATTCGTAAGGACATGACCCTGAAACGATTAGTGCCTAATCATGTAATGCCTGAGTAATTCTAAATGAGGTTATGTCAAGACCTGTTATTTTGTGTGCTAGTTAGGACGAGGTTAGATCCAGTCTTCTTAAAAGTAAGGTGAAATAGTGTACTGTGGTTTTGTGTACTGCAACTTTATAATGCTTCTTGTGGAAAAAATTAAGTATGCAAAGCAACTTCATCAAAATAAAAAAAAATAGTGTTCATCAAAATACAACACCAAGAAATTTAGGTCTCGTTTATTTCACCGATTCAAGTTTTGCTACAGTAAAAAGCTCTCAGAAACAGTCGCATCTAATTTTTTTGCTACAGTAAAAAGTTCACATAAAGTCACATCTCAACTCGAATCAACGAACTAAACGGACCCCTATTGTAATTTTGACGATATGTAGAATTTTGGGATCAAAATTTGAAACATATAAAGTTTAGAGTCTAAAACAATAAAAAAACAAAAGTTAATTTCCACAAATAATTTTTAAATTTTAACTGTTTTCAATTTTTGTTTCTTATTTAGACAGTCTCTAAATATTTAACACCTAATTAATAGAAAGATCGAAACTCAAATAAAGTAAAATTTCAAAGACTAATTATAAGATGTATTAAAAGTGAGGAACCAAAGTGAGATTGTGGGTAAATTTCAAAGACTATTTGTGAAATCATTGCTTTTGAGTTAGAATAGCACAATTCTCGTGGTTGCATAATGCATATGCTGCTTGTCAATACTTTCAGGATGGTGAAATCCAGCATTGAGCTCAGCACAATATTGTCAAAAGAGAAGCCAAGGTAGAAGTCAAGAGAGAGAAAAGAAATCCATTAATATTCAATTATTGATTTACTCTGTACACACAGAACAAAGGAAAACTATATCCCAATATCCATCCATTTCCAACTCTACAGCAATTCAATTTCCCTCGAACCGTATGTTATCACTCTAGATTTTCACATAAATTTTCACATTCAAAAAAACAGCGATTTCCATCACTCACCTATCCGACTAATTCACGCATAAAATACGCAGCCACAACCTATGAAGCATGAAGGCCCCAACAACAAAAATGGATGAGGATGGATTTGTTTCAAATGTGCAGGAGAATCCTTCACCTGTGCATCTCAGCGTATACCTCTACTTAAATGCTTCGAATCGTGTCCACTCGATCAATGACGTCTAGTGCTTTGATTCGGTCAATATCAAAGTCGATAACCGGAACGGAAGATGGTCTCCTAATAGGAAATGGATCCTTCCTAGTTTCACTCGCTGGGGAGTGGCTACTACTTTTACTCAGCCTATGATGCTTGCTTAACCTGGTCTTCACAGTGTCAAATTCCTGGCTCTTGCTTATTCCGGGTGTCAGTTTCCGTTTGTCCACATCCTGAAGCATCTCCTGATCTTCAACTGTCAACATGGGTGACGGACAGTTGGGTTTGCACGAGGACAGCTGAATTGTCTTTTGATTTGGGGAGCGTATTGGGGATTTGACAGGCGACCTGATGCCACCATTTCCAGCCCTTGCTTGGCTAACCAAATGGTGAAGCCACACAACCAGTTCGAGAATATAAGCTTCGGTTTTCTCCTTATCTGCATGGTGTAGCGTCTCGATCCTTAGCAAGTCGGTCTGACCAGCAGGTTTTCGATTCACATCGGACCTAAAGAATATCAATCAGAAGAGCTTATCAAAATATGGGAAAACCATATCTGAAGAAACAATATGAGATGTTTTAACTACTTACCCTGTGTTTGCCCATTCTCCAACCCAACCAAAGCCATGATGAGCTCTATGCAAACCAAATAGCAAAAGACATGCTCGTAGGTTAGTGACTAAACAAATCAAGTACAAAGAAAATACCAATAACTATATATGTTGAGCAGGAAGTAGATTCTGATCACCCATTTCATAATTTACAGTGTTCCCAAGACGGTGGCCAAAATATTGTTGGAAGGAAGTGGAATAAAAGCAATTTATTACTTTCCTACCCTTCCTTCTCGACAGTAAAATATATGTTTATATTATGTGTGTGTGTATATATATATATATATATAAGATTTTTGCACTGAAAAACATGGGAACTGATTAAATTATAAAAATGGGGCAGCAGAGCCCTCCAACCCAACAAAAAATGGATCCACATGATCGCTTGAAGCTTTACTTGGTCGTGTTATTTGCAACAGGGACAAGCCAACGCAATGTTTTCTCCATTTCAATTTTGATTTGAGGGATGGTAAGCTGCAAGAAAAACAGGTTGAAATATAACGGTCACGATCGCCACATAGCAAGAGAAATATTGAAGAAAATACTCTGAGATAAAGGATTTATATTTGTATCATCATTCACAAAGATTGAGAAACCAATTTCAAGATTTCCTTTTTATTAAACAAAGAACATATACCTCTTCCTTTACTTGAAATGACTGTAATTTTGAGCGCAGAGCTGACTTTATCGTAGGTGGAAGCCCTTGATATAAAGCATCCCTCGTATTGGGAGGCACGGAACTTGATCGAGAAACCTGATTATAGTTACGTGTCACACAACATTACTTGATATAAAGAAATCCAAACAGGTTTTTGGAAACTGCCAAAGAGAGGTTTTGTTTTTTTTTGGCAAGTTTGTAGCATCCCTGCAGAAAATTTTTATATATCCTTCTCTCATTCTAAATTAGAAAATAATAGGGTTATTAAAATCTCAAGTGGATGTAGAAAAACTCACAAGAGTATCAATTTGAGTAATGATATTTGCATAATGCAATGCGAGACCAGCAGAACCCAATTTGTTATGAGACCCTTTTATTGGTTGATCACCATCTGCAAGAACGCAAAAAGAACCACACGAGTATTATCCAGAAATGAAAAAAGAATTGAGAACCAAATTAGCATTTTAATGAACAATAATTTACTAGAGTTCATCTCAAAGAAGAGAGAGAGAGAGAGAAAAAATAATCAGAATTTTGGACTGATCTTGTCTGCACATACCAGCACTACCAAAGGCTTCGTGAATCTCAACATGCAGGAAATGTACTATGTCTACGAGCTTCTCCATTACCTGTAAATACAATATACTTTAGGAGGAACAAAACATTCAAGAATAGCAAATATGATGGTTACTATTTCATGGGCCGCCCGCATCGAAGAAAGTTTTCGCTTTATAATTGCTAAGAAACTCCTTCATAGCATTATAAAATAAAACAATGTAGTTGAGTCATCCAATTTCAAGCTCTCGGGAGACGAGGTAAAGAAAGAATGACTGCCTACCTCTTCTAGAATCTTGGACCAGAGGGATTTCTTCTTCAAGCTCCTCACATGCTTCCTTTGACTTTTTAACTCTGTTCTTAAAATTGCTAGGCTGTCTCCTACATGCCAAAGTAATTTACCGATAAATATTGTGAAGGAACAAGGGCACTGAGAACATCCCTGGTATAAAATTATAAGTTGGAATTAAAGTTGTCTTCGTTAGCTTAACTTTTGCCCTTACTTCATTCAATTCAGAGTCACAGTACAGAGCAATATGTATTGCAGAATGTGCAAATACAACACAATTCTTAAAACCAAAACTAAGGATTCTATTATCCATTCTATGTGCACATATATTTGTATGCAATTTACTGAAATGCTATTTACCCAATCTATGACCTGTCACATTGTATACATGCAAATGTTATGGGAACAAAATTTGGTCAAATACTATTATGTGTAAAACATACAAGTGTAAATTTTTGAGGGCCCAAGGGAGTAGCTAGCTGAGTGGGATGCTCATAACAAGTGAACACAGGAATCTTCACTTAATGATGTTTTATTTTTTGGTAAGAACCTGGTGCTTTCCTTCACCCTCCAAAAATGAATATCAAAACTTCTCCTTCGGTGCAATATACATCCTCAAAACTAGTAAAATAATTCTCTCACAAGTTGGCCTCACAAATTAAAAGATGAGCAGCGAACAAGAAGTCAGGGACTTAATGTGTTATTTCTGGACATTTATACTGCACACAGGTCATTATACAAAACCATACCTTTTAAAACACAGAATTGAGTGAAATAAAAGGAAGGAAATCAAATGAAATATGAATCTTTCTAAAGGAATACATCAAGCAATGTACCTCTTTGAGCAGCATTTGAGTTATCCTCTTCCTGATGCTTACGTCGATAATCTTGCTCAAATCTGTCCAAGGCATGCAACTCATGATACAATTCCTGTACCCCAAAAAAAAAAAAAAAGAGTTAAATCCCTCAAGTCAAATTCTAATTCCTAAAAATTTTCGAGAACAAAGCACACACGTAACAATGATGGGGTTAGCACGTTTCATCAAAAATGCTTTTCCCTCTCACAAACCTATCCATCAAATCCCAAGTCATTTGGAATTATCAAAGGCCAATAATACAATTTCACAACTTGCAGTGAATAAGAAATGTGATATATCCAAGTCGTCATGTATAGACCCTTAGATAGGATGGCAATTTCACAACTTGGACATATTGTCTCACAAGTCTCAAACCTCTCCGCCATTGGATCTCCTAAAGATTTAGATCTACGAGAGACGCGTAGAGGAAGGCTAGGGTTAAAAAAGGAAGTTATCAACTTTACAAGTTCCAAAAAGAATAATTTGGGAAGTACTGTAATGCAAATTTTAATAATGCCTATATACTCACGGCTGTATAATGAACCATAGTCATCAATTGCAGCATCAGTGTCTCTGCATCTTCCTTCAATTGTTTCTGTGGTGTAAGTTCTGAGCCCAACCTAGTATTGGAAAGAGATTGCAAGAGTGAATTTTGTAAACCACATTTAAGAAGTTGCAAAAACACATACAAGAAAAATAAACAAAAATATAGCTAATATTACTTCTCAAAATATCGATCCAAATGGTGCCACTGAGGATCTTTACAACGATTTCCAAAACGTACCACTTCACCGGAAAAAACTTTCAGTTCATCTCTGTCAAAATAATATAAGAGAACCATTAATTCTTCCCTAACTTAAAGAATCATAAGATCAATATTCAGAAGAATTTTAAAGAAAAATTAAATAGATATTGGAGAAAAAGATTGTTTCTGAGTAAAGAGCTCTCTCTAATTATCCACCTCTTGTCAGATGCAGCAATCCTCAAGAGTTCGTCCATATCCCGTGATATTAAGTTCTGCACTCCTTCCGATATCAGCACCTCCTCTTTTAAGCGTCTGATGTTATCCTTCGAAAGGGATTCCATTAGATTGGAACCTTTAACAATTGTGTTAGCAACTTCAAAAGCCAGTATAGAAATTTTGTTTCCCTTTGTTGTCACTCCAGAGGTAAAACCACTACTGAGGTTCAAATTTGTCATGCTACTACCAAGCGTGTCCAAAACTTCTACTGCCTTCCCAAGACCAACAGTACCAGCCCTACCCAAAAGCGAGCTCACTTCCGACACCTAAAACAAAAGGCAAAAAGTCAAGTCCAAATAGCAAGACAGGTTTAAGGATTGGTCGCTACAGTGTTTGATAGTGTAAAGGCAAGTCATCACTTTTTTTTTTCTCTTTTGTCTTTTTTCAAAGGGATAAATGACATCCTGATTTCTATAAGCATATAAAGCACTTTGATCCAACCGCATCTCATATTTGTAAATTGTAACCAAATGAACAAAACTATTCATGTCTGTATCAAAGTCACCCGACAAAAAGCAAGAAAGATAATAAAATTAATAATAACAATAATAAATAAATAAATATTAAAGAAAGATAAGAAAGAATGGTTCTAAGTCCCCAGGTTTTCCCCTCCTGGGATTTCAATGCAAGAAGTCTCGGTGTCCTTGCTTTGTTTATTTGGTTTATATGCCTGTTTGCTTATTGCTTTCGATATATATAAAATGCATTGTCCTGGTAATTTTCAGCTTCCAATCAAGAAAAATTAAAGAAAAAGGAGCATCCCAAACTTCCTATAGTTAGAAATTCCATAAAGTTCTATATCTCTAGAACAATTCAGCACTCGTACATGTAATATACATGCACCATGTGAAATTATCAGCAAAGTCTAATCTGAAACTCTAAAATGTTTACTCAGGTCTTATGGCGGAAAATGTCTTCAATCTAAAATACTTCAGCACTTGTCAATCAATAATAGTGACAAGAATTTGGAACATTTTAACAGCCTTGTTCCAAATGCCCAGCTAAGATGATTTTTTGTAAGCTACCACTTTACCATTTTTCACACTCCAAGTATAACCAACTAATTGTTGCCCACCATTTCTTGAGAGAGAGAGAGAGAGAGAGAGAGAGAGAGAGAGAGAGTCTTTTTCCTCTTCAAATTCTCAGTCTTTTTCCTCTTCAAATTCTCAGAGTCTTTTTCCTCTTCAAATTCTCACAGCACTTAGCTCTCCAAGTTAAACCAATAAAAAAGCTATTCAAGATTTCACACATTAAGGCGATTGAAGCTATCAACCGCTTTTGTTTCACTTTCTCATGACCACATCAAAGCTCACAAAGGAATGTCCCGAAGTAACAGATGCATAGAAAATTATATTCTCCGGCTTTTGGATCCATAAAATTTCAAGTATACTAATAATAAAAGAGGCATGGAGTAAAAAACACTAACACATCAAGTTCAGAATTACCTTTGCAACTGCAACCTGCTTAGACTTGGTCGATCTAGATTTCTGCGACAAGGTCCTAGACAAGTGTGGAATCCCATCATTGGTGTCGTCCAAGCCGATCTTATAAGGAACCACATTAACCTCTTGAAAAGAAAACGGATCGCGTAGCTGCATATCCATGCTGTTACCGGCAGAGGACGGCGTAGAATTGCTATCCAGTTTCATGGGAAGTGCATAAGACCCGTTACCCAAATGGCCATTAGAATGAGGATAGCTTCCACTAGGAGCATTATTTACATTGGCATTGTCTATAGAGGAGGACCTCCTTGTTCTGGAGCATATCCCACCCATTTTGTTGATCACCACTACAACTATAATCTCTCACTTGTTATTCACAACTTCCATACAAAACCCGAATTCTTTAAGACTTGTACTATCAATTAATGGCAAAATCAGAAGCTGAGCAACAAGATACTGTAAGACTGATCTACTCCAAAGCTATGAATTCATTAAAAACGAAGCAAAGCTTCTACCAAAATTACAACAGTACCAATTATGATCACGTCTGAAGCTCCAATCCATCAAGTCTATATATCTAGGTCAAAAAGCTGTAAAATCAAGTCCACAGACAAACCAGAACCAATCAGAAATCCCAAATCCAAACAAAAGTACAATACAAAAACTATATCTTCCAAAAAATAAAAACAAAAATCAAGCAAAACCCAGTTCCAAAAAAGTTCCAAATACGCAATTATCAAGTTCATTTCTTTATTTATTATTTACCATCAAAAGGGCAAACATTCAACTGGGTGATAATAAATGGGAAGTAAAGATTGATGGATTTGGAGAAAAACCCAGAAAGGAAAAAGAGTAAAGCTCGCTTACCAGCTAAAGAGGAGAAGAGAAAGAGTTGGATCTGTGAGAGCATGAATAAAAGAGATATTTTGGTCTGTAATTCCCTTCCACGGCAAGATGATGATGTTGACGGAGATGGGTTATTTTAGAAAGTAAAATTAAAAAAAAAAAGAAAAGAAAAGAAAAAACCACTGTGTGAGAGTCGAGCTCTGGGGTTCAGAATTCAGACAATAATACGTCTCTTTCTTTCTCTCTCTTTTTTCTTTTCTTTTTTTCTTTTCTTTTCTTTGCTTTTGGTTCTTTCTTTCCTTCTTTCACTTCTTTTCTCTGTGTTTTGAACTAGAGAGAGCTAGAGAAAGGGAGAAATGGTCAAAACCCAGACACAAAAGTCACCTCCAAGAGTAGACTTGGCAGTCTCTTTCTCTCTCCTCTCTTGAATTAACCATGGTTATCTCTTCAGAAGACTCTCTCTCTCTCTCTCTCTCTCCCAATTTTTACCTTAGATTCTCACCTCAATCGTGGCTACGGCGCGTGGTGCCTACGCAAGCCTTCTTAACTTTTAAAAGCTGTTTAAAGAGACGTTTCAAGGTTGTTTGGTCAGAGAATTCCTAACCTGACTTAAATTATGGTTTATAATTTATTACAGTATTTTTTTGTATAAAAAATACACATAAATTAAAAATAATTTTAATCTTATAATTCTAATTTATAAACTAAACGTCTCCCATTTTGACTACAAATATGATAGACGTTTAGTTGTATTGTTTTTGTCCTTTAAATCGAAAGATTGTTTTAACTCTAAAAAAACCAGGGAAGTGGGGCACGTGCAAGCCACGTGCATTCATGTCCATTAATACTTTTTTTTAATTTATTTTTAATTAATGTAATTAAATATAAATGATTAATTATAGTAATTGCATAATATAAAGAGTTAACAAAAAAAATGTACTTTTAGCACAAAAAAATTACAATATAATGGCCAAATGGGTCGTACCAGAATCAGGCGCACTCGTGCTATCACGTTTTGCTTGGCATTGGCCCATTATTGTTCATGTTGTTCAGTATGACCCGACCCATAAATTCCTAACTATTGACCTGACATGACCTATTGACTTATTGACTCGTACTTTTATTGTCGTACCGTCTCACATGTTTAATCGTGTTAGTTTATTATAAACTCATATTGATTCATTTCATTAATTATAATGATATTTAATTTTTAAACTTTTTTCCCTTAATTTTCAAATTTTAATTTTTATATATTATATTTATACACTAATAATCTAATTACATACAAATAATGAAAAACTATTTTTATAATATACATATATATGTGTGTGAATATTTAATTTTATTTTAAATTTTCCTATTCTTTTATAGCAATTAGCAAGAAGAACAATCTAACATAATAACTACAACCTTCACATATTTATTTATATAAGTGTCAAACGTGTGGTGTCTAGCATGTCGGTGTGTCGGGTCATACTATCTTTGGTGTCGGGTCGTGTTTAACCTAACATGCTCAATACTTAACCGTGAATTAACATGACGTGTCGTGCTAGATGCGCGTCGAGTCATATCATGCTCCTAAGTTCATACCATTGAGCCAACAACTTAGTCATGCAAAATAAATATGTGATTATTGAGCTTTTTGATATTTGAAAGACAAATTTATCAGAGCCAACACCGAGAAATTCTTTTTCCAATCAACATTTTACAATTTTTTTTTAGTTTTACATAATTATTTACTATATACTAGGTCCATATACAAGAAGGAAAAAGACGTTTGAGTGTAGAAGGAAGATGTACAACACATAGACAGAAAAATCTGTTGAAAACCAATAGATTTGATCGGTTCGGTCATCAAACCATCCCCATCGATTTTTTAAAATATGAAACCGAAATCATGCATGTTCGGTTGGTTTCCAAATGATCGAAATGTCAAGAGGAGAGTTATTCACTGGCGGCAAATAGATGACAACAATGGGGTAGTCGAAAACGTGATTGTTAAGGGTTAGTTGTATCAGTTTCTTCTTCTTTCTTTTCTATTGTAGCGTTGCTAGGGTTTCTAAACAAAAGCTAATATGTTTTATGGGCTTAAAAGTTAAATGGGTTAGCTATGGGCTTCACTCCATCCGTACCCACCAACTAAATGTGAGTTAATGAGACAGGGGCGAATATTGTTTTTAAGGAGAAAGAGAAAAATATGTCAAGATTTGAGGTGAATTAAAATTAATAGACCAATAGTTTACATAAGTTAATAAATAGGCTAAATTATTATTTTTGTCCATAACTTGTCTGGTTATGAACCATAACTTGACAAGTTATTATCCATAATTGTCTATAATTTGTCTGGCTATGAACTATAACTTGACAAGTTTGTCCATAACTTATTTGGTTATGAACCATAACTTGACAAGTTATGACCTATTAATTTCTATAACTAAAAATTGGCCTATATACTTTCTTAAGCTTTTCATATTGACCTATTTTCTACTATTCCCCTTGTTTTTATTACCTTGCACAAAAACTTGCCTCGTTACCATCTCTTCATGCATTAGTAATATATATATATATATATATATAATACAACTTCAAAAAAAAAAAAAATTTGGCCGTGTTTGAAATTGATTTCTTTTTTTTTCAATTTTTTGAGAAAGAAAAAATGAAAAAGTTTTCAAAACGGCGTTTTGCGCAATAAAGATAAAAAATGAAAATGAAAACGATTTTTTAGTTTAGTGTAAAATGAGAGATAAATGAAAAATGATTTTTAGTCGTTTTTTATTTTTTTTATTTTCGTTTTCTCCTTTCTCGAGCAGAGATAGAGAGACATTACTAGGTTTTTTTATACTTAAAATAATCTCTTGATAAAACTACCAAGCACATTTTTAAAAATAATTTCTGTCTGAGATTGAAAACGTTTTCATTTTCATTTTCATACAAAAAATAAAATCATTTTGCAACGAGTTTCAAACGCGCCATTTAATTTTCAATATAATATTAAAAATAATAAAACTCATGCTAATTGCCCTTGTTGCTATCAGTAAGGGGTTGTTTGGTTGGGGGATTCGTACTCCGATTCGAATCATGGTTAATGGTTCGATACAGTGTTTTCTCTCATAAAAAATACACGTAAATCAAAAATTATTATAATCTCATGATTCTAATCTATGAATTAAACGTCTCCTAATACTTCGTTGACCGAACTTATTATCGTGCACCAAGTCATTGTTAAAAAATTTTAAAATGTTCATAATTTCTTCAAAAAGGTTAAAAAAAATCAGTTTTGGTCACTAATATATGCATAAAATTGCAATTTTAGATCTTAAATATTATGCAGTCAACATATTTATGAGGACAAATTTGACGTCAACCATTGTTTTTTTTAATCTAATATATTTTATACAATGATCATTTTTTCAATTATTTTATTTCAAATCCTCTGAACCCTTCCTTTCCTCTCCACTACCATTTTCGATTTTCCGAGTTCCTCCTACCATCCTCTTCTTCCTCCTCCACCCCTCGCTCGTTCATTGTCTTTCAAAAATGTTGCACTAAATTTTATAGTTTTGAAGAGTTTTTAGAGATAGTTGAGAGGGCATTTTTAATAAAACAATTTCTATACAATTTTTAATTATCATACAAAAATCACATGATTACCTTTATAAAACTACAGAAATCTACAGTCAATTTTAATGGTTATTGACGAAAAATGCTAAAAAAAAATAAATAGTTCATGTTTAGGGATCAAAGTAGGGCCTTTACTTACCTAGTGTTCTTATAAAAATAAACTATGGTAATTTTTTATTTTTTTGTTGTTAAAATTATTATATTTTAATTTAAATTAATTTTAATTGAGTTTATTTAATTTATTAATTTAAATTTTTAATTTAAATTAAGATATACTTTATGTAAAAAAATTTTATTATAATAAAAAAATTATGTAATTATTTTTTAAAATTTTTTACTCTAACAAAACTCGAATTGAAACGGAGCCTATTTAACTCTCAAAACTCGCATCAAAATAATGCTAATGATAATCCGATCAAAATGTTAGTTCGGATAAGAGGCAAATGAGGTGGAGCAATAGAAACCGTCAGTTTGCTTGAAAAAAAAATCAATGGGTTGATAGATCGAGTCGAACCTGTTCTCACTTTATTAGCGTATTGCACAATAACAGAACCCACATCACACTCTCTGTCTCTCTGTCTCTGTCTCTCTCTCTCTCTCTAACTACCTCTTCTGTTCTGCTGCGGATTCAACCCTATCTACCACATACACCTCTCTTCTCCCTCAGATCTCTCCTGATTCCTGAATCAAGAATTAGGCATTTGCATCTGTTGCTTTCTAGAAAAGGAGAAGCAGAACAAGATCCAAAGCTTCAATTTCCTTTTGATTTTTCAAATTTTGAGGAAGTGGAGCGAGTTTTGAATTCGGAGTTGTCGGTTTCCGGTGGTGGTTAAGGCAAGTGGAAGGTGGAGATGGAGGGGAATTCTGGCGGCGGCGGAGGAGGCGGCAGCGGAGGAGGAACGGTGGCGGCAGCGGCCGGAGGAGGCGGCGGAGGAGGAGGAGGAGGAGGAGGAGGAGGAGGGAATGATGTTGAATTGTTGTGCAAGACGCTGCAGGTGGAGCACAAGCTGTTCTACTTTGATCTGAAGGAGAATCCTCGGGGACGGTATCTGAAGATATCGGAGAAGACGTCGGCGACCAGGTCCACCATAATTGTTCCCTTCTCCGGCATCTCCTGGTTCCTCGATCTCTTCAATTACTATGTCAATTCCGACGATCAGGACGTCTTCAGCAAGGAATTGCAGCTCGACACCAAGGCAATTTCTTTCTTGTTCTTGTTGTGTTTCGTTATCCAAGCATTCACTAAGTCACAATTCTTCTCTGTTTCTCTTTAGGTCTTCTATTTTGACGTTGGCGAGAATAGAAGAGGTCGTTTTCTCAAGGTAATTCGAATTCCGTTGCATAACTATCTGTTCTGTTTATGGAAGACTTTTGATTTCTGTGCCAATGATGGAAACCTTGAAATCTACATTATGTACGTGAGGATAAGCTTCTTAGTGTTGTCAGTGAACATTTGGTATTTATTATTATGTTGAGTTTAATAAGGCTTTGTTTGGTAAGAAAAGAAAATAGGAAGCGGGGAAAAAAAAAAGAAGAAGAATTTTTCCTAATATGGATTCCTTTCCTAATTTTGGATTCCTTTCCTAATTTTTCCATATTGGCAGATATTAAAATTGTGGTTCTTTGAAACTTCGTACCAAATTTATTCCATTCTCTTTTCCCTCCTACCAAATAACCATGAGTTCCAAAACCTTTTTACTGATCCATTCACCCCTCTCCCTCAACCAATTTTTCCCTCCTACCAAGCTTTAAAAGATTTTGCTGGCATTTGAGAGTTTGCAAATGATTCGGATCTTGGTATCCCCATAATGCTGATTACCAATAGATTTGTAAAAATGTTACACTTACATAGTTGAGCTATGGATCCACTTTTTCTTAATTGAGTTTCGCAAATTGGTAACTGCAAAGGTTTTTTTATTGGAACACTGATAAGAACCAGAGGCTGATGGTTTATAGTAGGAAGAATAAACGTCAGTGATTAGTGCTGACGTGGATTGGTTTGCTGAATTGCTGAATAATCTAGAGCTTGAGCAGTTTTTTGAGTGGTATTGAGTTAGGAAGGAGAGAAGGTGATCTCTCGAATATCACCATTGTTAGAGTGATCGTTAGTTTCGGAATAAAATCTATATCTTTCTGTTATGTTTTCTGTTGTTCTGTTGTGGATTCCATCAAACACAAATGGTGCCTTGATACTTGATGCTCCTGAAGTTTTTAACTTTTCCTTCTTTGAAATTTGTCTAACTGATCGATATATCTTTATGGTGTCTGTACACAGAATTTCAGAGGGCTAGTTCATGACATATTTTCTTTTGTCACCCTTCGTCTTCGGATTTTGATTCTTATCTTATTCATTGGGTGGTTATTTCATGGAAATAGCTAAGTTGAAATCTGAAGCAAATTTTTTAGTGGAAGATACAATTTGCGCTTTAGACTCTGTAGAAGGAAGAACATAAAAAGGATATTGGACATGAGCAGAAAGAAGCTTACTTCATGGCCTAATAGCATAGGAGTTTTCAGTATTCATATCTATATTCCAAAGCAACTCTTGCTTCCAGACTTGATGGGAAGTATAAACCTTTTCTTCTACAAAAGATTGGATCCCTGAACTTTCGTTCTGTGGAATGTGGTCAGTCCCTTATAAACATAACAGAAGTAGAGTTGCATAAAAAAATTTAATGGGGAGTACATGTCATAATTCCTAGTAGAGCATGTTGGAAATAAACCTTTTCTTCTACATTGGATCCCTGAACTTTCGTTCTGTGGAATGTGGTCAGTCCCTTATAAACATAACAGAAGTAGAGTTGCATAAAAAAATTTAATGGGGAGTACATGTCATAATTCCTAGTAGAGCATGTTGGAAATCTCTCTCTCTCTCCTCTCTCTCTCTCTCTCGCTCTCGCTCTCTCTCTCTCTCTCTACATTTGGTGTCTTTCTTATCATCTATGTATTTTCTTTTTGTCTCCAACTACAAGAACATATTTGATTTCTTTTCCAATAAAAAACACATTTCATTTCGCTGTTGTTTTTTCTTTGACTTGGATAGGTGAGGAGATTCCAAGTCTTAATTTCTTTTTGTCCTCCAATATTGCTCAAAATGATTCGTTTCTGCAGGTGTCGGAGGCTTCTGTAAGTAGAAACCGCAGTACAATAATTGTTCCTGCTGGCAGTACCCGGGACGAAGGTTGGGCCGCATTTAGGAACATTTTAGCTGAGATCAATGAAGCATCAAGGCTTTTCATGCTACCAAACCAGGTATTCTTTCCTGTGCTTTAGGTAGCTACTTTCTAGTTAATATGCTAGTCTCTGTTAAAAGAGCCTCATTTGTTCCTTCTTATCTTCACCTGGTTTTGCATTCCAAAACAGCAAAGTTCTGAACCTTCAGAACGTCTTGTTGGGCTTTCAGATGACGTTGGTGCTGGCTTCATATCCGGCCACAGTAGTCAACCTGCCACGACTTCTGAACTGAATATAGACAGATCTGTGGAGTTTCCAGCACAAGACGAAATTGGTAATATGGGAGTCTCGAAGGTGATCAGAGCTGATCAGAAGAGATTCTTTTTTGACCTGGGGAGCAACAACAGGGGGCATTTCCTAAGAATATCCGAGGTGAGATTGAAGAGAAAAAGATTTGTTGAAATGCAATACAAGATTATCTGTTTTTTTTTTTAGTGTTTATGATCTTAAAATGTTTAAAAGTGCTGTCTTTGTTTTGTTTTGTTTGTTGCTGAATATTGAAAACACTGTTGAAATTGCAGGTCGCAGGTTCTGATCGGTCCTCCATCATTCTCCCACTGTCGGGACTCAAGCAGTTCCATGAAATTGTGGGTCACTTTGTGGAGATCACCAAGGACCGGATCGAAGGAATGACGGGTGCAAATGTTCGGACGGTGGAGCCCCCTCAGAGATGAATGCAAACCTGGAGGTGGCTTTTGTAATGAAATAAATAACTCCAATCTGCCAAGTTCCTCTAGAGGTAGAAGTGGGTTTTGACTTTTGATTAGGGGTGGGATTGTGCATTAAGTCGTTTGCTTTGTTTATTTTCTTCTCTTCTTTCTGTCATTCAAGTCTGAAATAATCCGATTTCTGTCTGAGTAACCTAGATCTCGGAGATGATTGCGAAGCTTGATTGAAATAGGGAATAATAGGAGCCGACCAGTTACTTGTAAGTGCCAGTTTGATTAGTGTCAGTACTTATTTCCAACTTAATAATGATCATTCCATGATGTGCTTTATTTTTGTTTCAATGTAAGCTGATCAAACGTGCTGTTGACTAATAGAATATTATTGCAGTTCTTTTAAACATTGTGTTTCAATGTAACCTTAATAGAATTTCGAATCAGTGGGTCCCATTCGTTTCTTGTTTGACCTCTTTTAACTGTTTTTCTTTCTTCACAATTTGGTTAATGTAATTTCCTCCTGGTTGAATTGAACTCTCCGAAGCTGAAATTGAATTGTGGGTTCGTTTGACTTGAACTATTGATTGGGATATATATTTGCCACAAACAAAGGACAAGCTGGTTTGTTTTAAAAAGACCAGATCACTTTCTTGGCAGTAGTGTATAATGGATCCGAATTTACAAACTATAGAAGCCTTACTGTTACAGTTGTCTTGTGTTTTTTTTTTTTTTTTTTTTTTTTTCCCTGAACTCTATGTTTCGATGTGTAATTACCGCAAGATTATTTCTGCAGTCACCTTATTGTTACAGTTTAGTACACCAGTTGAGACGATCTTTTTCTCCTGACATATTTTTAAAGAATGGTTTCCACTGTTTCAGGTGAAAATTTTCCTTTGTGTGCCTACAAAGTTATTACTTGGGTGAGTTGGTGCACCTATTTGGTACATGAATCCTAGAATTTCTAACCATGAAAATTACAAACTTTCCTGTGTTTTGTACTTTTGTTTGGAAATAGCCTTGTGATTCCGAAATTAAGAATCCGACCATTCTTATTTGCAGATTCCATAAAAATAAACCCTGAAAAATATTATATGCCAAAATCAGCATATTAAAATACGAAATTGACCTTTAAAAACACATAATTACCAGACAAATGATAATCTTCAGGTGTTGGCATGTTATTTCAGGTTTCCCAAGTACATGACACTGATTTAGGAAGGTTGGTGCAATAGTAATGGTATTTTTTTGTGTTTTTGAAGGACAAATTGGTATTTTTCGTATGCTATTTCTGACCAACAAATTCTGATCAAGGTTTATTTTGATGTAGTTTAACTACTTACAGGGAGTAAATTGTTGTCTTTTGAAAGACTTTTTTTTTTTTTTTTTTTAAAGTCACATATATGGGAAACTTTAATAATTTTCCTATTTTAATACTACTCTTTCAACGAAGAGAAAGAACAAGTGACATATCTACGAAATGAGGGGTCCCATTTTAAATGTGAAAAGGAGGTATTTTTTTTTCGTTGTGGTGAAAATGCGAAGAGGACTAAAGGCTAGTATGCCATTGGGTGGAAGTAAGCGGGATGTTTGTTTCTAGCAAAAAATAAAAATAAAAAAAATAAAAAAAAAAGAGGATGTTTGTTGCATCTTTCTCCTCCTTTAATTATAAGCGTTGCCCTTGTTTTCTGCAAAGAACAAGCCAAGGATGACCCCTGCCCTCGGAAATTAAAACAGAACTTTCTTTATCTGAAAAAGGGACCATAGTTAATGTTGTAAAAATGGGGCCAAACTTAATTTTCTTTATTGAAGGGAATGGAAAAGGAAAAAGTTCTTGCACATGAAAACATTAATTCCTTTCCTTGAGCATCAATGTCATCGTCCATGTGCTTGAGCTTCTACGTTATTGAATCAACTCGCTGTTTTGTATAGCCTTTATTAGATTGCTTTTAGGCTCCTAAGGCTCAACTAATTTCTAAAGAGTAATTGGATATTCAACATTTCTTGATTTTTTTTTTTTCAATGAAATACTCCCAAAAAGGGGGGATAAAAAAACAATGTTACTGCAAAGCACCACAAGCTCCAAAACTCTCGTTCTTATTTAACATTAAACAAAGGGTGAGCAGCAAAAATATACAACCCAAGTTTCGCTTCTAAAAATAGCATCTAGGTTGTAGAGTGTAATTTAAACGGCAAATTTGTAGTGAATAAAAATGGATAATATATACTTTAACATAAAGAATTAGTGGGGAAACTCCTATGTTGCTCTACATTCAACTAAGGCGAGAGAAAAAAAGTAAAAAATAAAAATACTCAAAATCAGTAATAAACATTGTTGCGAACGCAAAATAGTGCAAATTATGTTTGAACCTTTTTATTTAAATTGGAAAAATTAAAAGAATGAAATTGAATTTAAAATTATGATTCGAATTAGTGTTTGGATTGGCAGATGTAAAGAGAACCGGGCTAACATAATACAAACATTATGGAAGATTCATGGTGGCAATTAGAAACTTGAACTTGGGAGTCATTTTCAACAGCTTGCTTCCAAGAAAAAGATCAAAGAAAAAACTGCAACATTTCCTCATCAGAATAAGGTTTTGATAATCCAAAATCATAAAGCTCAATTGTGCATCAAAGAAACTCTTTACAGCATATCATAGAGGACCTATTCCCAAGGTAGAATATCAACGTACAGTATCTATATCAAAATGAAGGAGATATTCATTACGAATATATACCAATGAACATAAATGGTGGATTCTCTGGAATTAGGCGGCCATGTGAAATGCACATCCTAAAGAAACTGGGAACACTAAGCCCACAATATGTTTCTTTTTCCCGTGAAAATTGTGGGAATTAGTTTATTATTTTTATTATAAGAGTTCCCAGGTGCCTCTATGCCGAAACAGAGGAACGGATAAATTTGGGAAGGGTTAATTGGCCATAACAATGAATTCATCAACATCTGGCTCGTTAAAGCACAACTGCTCGGAGATGGCTTTGATTTACTCATCTCTGCTTAAATTGCCGCTGAAAAAAAAAAAAGTTAAGGGATTATTTTAAATTGAAACTGTAAATTTTTTTAAGGAATTATGGACCATGTCAAAGACACGTCGAAAAGCACAAGAAATTCAACACAAGTAATGTGTACCACTGTTGAACTGTTTTCGCCATTGGGACCGGAGATGAGGTCTTCCAGTTCATCTACGATAGCCAAGTAACAGAAATGGTATTGCTCCTAGAATGAATAAAGAGGGACATAGCTAAAATAAGTAATGGAATTCAGAAATCTTCATGTTGACAGAACCAGTTTGGGATGTGTTGTTAGGAATTAGTTAGTGATGTGTCATCGAAAATATTGTTGTTTTATTCCTTCTTCATTTCCAAAGCTACTTGAATTAAGCATGTCACTAGGGAATATCAAGTTAAAGTAAGTACTTATTATCAGTCCCCGAAGCTAAGAAATGAATATATATGACAAATTTACCAGTGTTTGAACCATTCCAATTCGCTGAGACCTAAACATGGTTATGGTTTTTGCAAGATCTAAAGCAGACGTGTCTCCAGCAAGAATTCTCTGGATCGTGTTGTGAATTGTGCAGTATGTTCCAGTTCTCCCTATACCTGCACTGAGCATGAAAGGATACATGTACGTCAGTTAAAAAGCTATATGGTTTCCCAAAAATTGCACAGCGCATACGCAAGTCATATATAAGATAAACCTGCAGTGCACCACAACTGGCCCAATATTGGGTGGTACTCGATGAATTCTTTTGAAAATTTCACGTACTGCAATCGTGTCTCCGGGAACTCCATGGTCTGGCCATTCGGGATACTGAATATGCAAAACAGACATGGGTGGTTCCTCAGACTGCAACATCAAAAAAGGGATCAAGGGGGGCAACACTGAAACAATAACATAATTGTTTAAGTTGCTTCTTGTGTTTGGTATGTAAAATCTTGTACATCCAGTTAAGCATATATGTATAACGTATTTACGTATCCAAACAAACAGCCTTATAATAATGGATAACCAATAGAGTTACACTGTACTGACCAGATTTGTTAAGATCATTTCATCAAATTCATTCAAAACTTTTTATCAAAGATTGGGCCCAAACAGTGAAGAACTTTTCCAGGAAGAGTGAATAAGCTTTGTTTCAATCACGGAATACATTTCAAAGAGTTAAAGGTCAATAGTTTTGATCAAAGATTGGACCGCATAGTGGAGAGCTTTTCCAGGAAAAGTGAACAAGCTCAGTTTCGATCACAGGATCGATTTCAAAGACTGAAACGTCAATTTTGTGTCAACAGTAAATGCCTAAATTATAGGCATACAATCGTGTTTAACAAATATTTGCATTAAAAAAAACTCATGAAAAATGTCAACTTACCTCCTTATAATTCACCTCCAGATGGCGCAACACTAATGAAGTGTTAGTGGTACTTGCCCACTTAGTATTTGTACATATATTACCAAATTCTCTAGGACCATCTTCTGCTTGAAAATAATCTCCGCATTTTACCATCTGCGCCATAAAGATAAAAATTCAGAAAGAGAGGATTACAAAAATACTTGGCCATGATGAAAATTATGAAACAATAACTAAACCATGATACTTAGCTAAAGGAAAAGGTTAAAGCACATTTAGACACCTACAGGAATCAAGATTACAAAACTGCAGTATAAAGGTTTGATGAGGGAAGTGTCAAAAGAACATCACACATTCATATGGCATATATAAATCAAAATGGGACAAATAGAAGATACGCGTAATATATCCTAAGCTCAATGAAGTAAGCAACTAGCAAGAAAGTAGCATGTTCAAGCAATATAGCTGTAGTTGTACAATTTTTTTGTTTACCCCAACATAAGTAGCATCAAAATGAATACCGGAAAATCTTGCAAAATTAAAACAGGAAAAAGTAGAGAATACATTATGTGACTGTACATGTACAGACAGGCTTCTATATATACATACATTTGTGCATATCTTCACGTGCGTGTGCATAATATGCACACAACCAGCACTAAATACCATATAGTTGAGACTCCTAATAATTAAAAGAGAGGAATAAGAAATACTTCTGACGTTTTTACGAACTAGTTCTTGCAGCACCAAAAAGCCAATTTCCTCGAATGTTAAACGTGCAAGTCATTTATTGCCAGAACGAAAGCCTTCAATCTTGACTTTGTTGATAAAGGTGAAAAGGAGAAATAAGAGAAACTAAGGGCAGCCCTCTAGCTACATACAGCAGCTTTCAACGTGGTGATTCTTAATCTTATTACCAAAATATCTCTACCTTAAGAGTTCACCAACCAATACACATTCCACAGAGGGCACCTTCTAAAATACCCTTCTGGTACCCCATTTCATGGGGAAGGGGCAAGTCCATGGTATAAATTGCCTGAAGAAGCTAAAAGCATTTAATTTGACAGGTTGAGCACATGGGTAAATGAACCAGCAGCTCCGTCAAAAGAAATACATAATATACACTCAAAAGTTTTGCTTAATTTTCTTTCCAAAATACATAATGCATAATCCAAAATGGACACAGAGAACTGTAAATGATACTTCAAATAAGGTAAGAAAAGAATTGATACATGAAAAGGTGCAAAACCCCAAGAGTCTAGTAGGAAGCAAATGAAGAAAATCTGAAGGCCGTGAGAAATTGATTTGCAATTTTACACAGACCATGTATGCATAGACAATACACAAAGTTTGCGTACTTCATAACTAATTAATAACTCAAATCCAATTCCTTTAAAATCCATGAATGGTTCTTTCCATATAGACGTGATTACATTTAATCATTAGTATTTTTGCTCTGTAAATAGCTAAACCTTTTAATTCCTTATAAATACATAAAATAGCTTACCCTATGGGTAAAATAAAAAATTTTAAATATTTAGATCAAAGGCAAGATATCAACAATTTTTTGTAACAAATTGTCATGAATACTGTAAATTTTAAATGCAAATATTAAATATGGTAATCATAGATCTTGTTCTATAGTTGCCTCGTACTAGATTGGAATGTTTTAAACATCTAATATGAAATAGCCAAATAGGAGCACAATGCCTTGAAGCCCCGAACAGTAAAGTACCCTATAATTGTCGACCAATCGAGTGAGCATCACAACCACAGGGCACTGGTACTGGATCACCATCTCCCAAAAATCCTCATATGTGTGAGGAAGGGGACCTTGTGTAGCTATAAAGTGGGAAACACTTTCAGAAGAAGAAACCTGCAATACAGCGGTACCCCGTAAGTGTCATGTTGGATACGTGGGTGCAACAAGCAAGAACATATGGAACTCTACCGTGATAAAGCTGGCATTGATATAGCCCCTTGCAGAAGGTCTATAATCCTTGCAAGAGTTGAGTACAACTCTGGTTTGGTCAACTGATATTCAGAAGAACAACAACAATTAAGAGAGAGAGAGAGAGAGAGAGAAGAAAAGCAACAACAAGAACAGCAATCTCAGTATGAAATTTTGAACTTTTCAATTCATTTTTAGTGTCGCGCTCATGACTATAAGTGTGCAATTTTGTACTTGTCAAATACATTTTCATTATTATGCATAAATTGTTTTTAGCAGTTGAAAAACTGACAAATAAACTGCCACATCAGCTGGTGGCCAAAACTTAAGGAATTAGTGAGGATAATTAAAATGCTTCTATAGTAACGATTGTAAGCATATCCTACCGTAAATCCACACATGACTCCAATCTGCACCCCAAATTCAGGAAAAAGAAAAAAAAAGCTTTATAGTCTCTAAACTTTGACCCCATTCTTACTTCTATTCGATCCATGAATTCTCATTTGTCTCTCTTATAGGACTATGTTTACATATCATTTCCATCCCTCCGTCAAACTTGACACTAAACACCCTTTTGAGTTGACAAAAACCCACATTTGATTTTGACGAACTAAGACGAAGTCAAAGTCCAGGAATAACAAAAATCAAAACTTTGAGCGATGGAAATAATGTCAAGTCTTAGTCCATGGACTCAAATTATAAAATATAAATGGGAAATTTTATATGGGCTTAAAAGACAAAATCCTTTGTAATAATAATATAAAAAAAAAGACAAAAGAAATACTAAAATCAAGCATCATTAACACATACAGGGCAAAACATCCGTGTAGCGGTTTTTGCTCAAATTCACACTGTCGAGAGCCACCGTGCAGTTTCTCCTCATCTCCGACGGCGTTATTCTATTCGCCTGAGAAAATATCAAAGGAAAAAAAGAAAAAAAAAATCAGTAATGACAAACTAAATTTGGTTCGTAAAACTCCATTGTTGTGACATCGGAGGCAAAAACCTGAAGCAAACCGAACTCCTGGTTAATCTGGTGAGGGCTTCGGAGCTTTTCCTTGAAGAATCCGAGGGCTTCGGAGCAGTGCTTGAGCTGATCCGGCGTGAGCGCCAATCGCGGCGGGGAATCCGGCGAGAAATTAGGAGCGGCCGACGGTTTGGCGGAGGCGGCGGCCATGGCGGAGGCGGATCTCCTGTGGGCTCTGGAGCGGCGAGAACTGAGGTTCCCCAGAATGAAGAGGAGAGAGAGAGAGAGGGGGGGAGGGAGAGAGAGGGAGACGAATGTTTTTGTGTTGGAATTTTATATAGTTTTGCTGATGGCGTGTGAAGGCTGCAGTTGGTTGGTGATATGGTTAATAATTGGTGCCTTTCCTCTTTCTCCACCAAAAATAAAAATTAAATTAAATTAAAAAGAATGGACCTTTTTTATTAGGTTAATATATTAATAGGTTAAGTTTTTTGTTTATTAAATTTGTATAAAATCACGTAAAAATTAAAATATATGTAAAATTAATGATTAAAAATATATGATCTATCAGTACGCTAAGCGTATAAGAACATCTCGTTAAAAAAATATATTTTATTGGGTTTGATTATTGCATTAACATAAATGCTAACGTCACTTTTTCTGTTATTCTTTTTGTTATTTTTTGTATTTATTATTTGAAATGTGAACTCTATTGTCTCCTTTTTTTTATTTGAATAATTATATATCATATAACATAGTATTAACATAAAGATAATGAAAAAAAAAAGTAATATTAGTATTTCTTTTACTTTAATGATGTTCTTTTTATATTTTTTATGAAGTTAATAAGTATCATCAGATTGTAGGTGTTTGTTTAAGTAGAAAGATCTTTAGGAATATTATTACAATGAAACTTTTCTTTTTTAAGGTTAGCTCTAATTTGACCGTCTAAAAATAAGGATTATCTCATTTTATATTATACAATTTAAAATAATACAAAATTAGCTCTACAATGCTGAATTCAATAATGTATTTTAATGGAGCATTAGTGAATGAAAAATTAAAAAAAAAAAAAAAAACACTATCTTACTTTTTAAGTGAGGCAAACTTTACACCAAGACGTGTTTATTAAAGCATAAAGAAACGTAACGAGAAAGGTAATAACATTGAAAAGAAAAGTAAAGAAATAAGTATAAGGATAACCGATTGCTTTTTAAGTGTTTATTTGACTATTAGATGGTCTAATGAGAAACAATCTTATTTCCTTTAGAGTGTTTACTAAAATTAGAACTAGAAAATATTATCCATATAATTACTAAAAAAAATCTTTTACACAATTAAATAATCATTAACTATATAGTAATTCATTATGGTAGATATATAAATTTAGCATTTATTCCCTTCAAAAGAGAATCAATATCAAAGAATGCAAGAATTGTCATATATCAAAGAATGCAAGAATTGTCATCCTTTTGTTCATTTCTTATAGAGAAAATTGTTAAACTTATTCTTAAAGTGTATGGATCTTGATTTTTACCTCTTACTCTTGATCATTACCCTTTTGACTAAAAATATATTAATAAAGAGTGAGGCCTAAAAGTTCAAAGCTATGTACTCTAAGACCTCGTTCATTTCACCGATTTGAGTTTAGAATTCGAGTTTTGCTGCAGTAAAAAGCTATCAGAAACAGTCACATCTAACTTTTTTATTAAAGTAAAAAGCTCTCACATAAAGTCGTATCTCAACTCGAATCAGCGAACTAAACAGACCTGATTAATGCCTAAAAGTGATGTTCACAAGCGATCAATTGTAGCACAGAAGGGCAGTCGTATCCACAGAGAGATAACAAAATAACAAGAAAGATTAGCAGAATAAGAGTGTTAGAGAAAAATAAATAACAAGTGAATTAAAGAAAAAGAAGAGTTTTTGAGATTTTTGTTGTAAATAAAAAGGAGAGAAGATTTGTGTGGAAGAAATATAATAACAAAAACGGTAAGGTATCGAGAATCCCTAATGTTTCGTTCACCAATTCAAGTTTTGATTCACAAAATAAAAGAATCGAATAAATTAATCTCTATGTTGACTCCGAAAATATTATTATTACAAGTTATCCAAAATCAACAATATATCAATTTGACAATATTGCAGTAAAAGACAATTTATAAAATAATTTGAATAACAAAACAATGCATGACATAATTACATAAGAAAAGCGTGACTGAACTTATATAAAAATTGGCACACAATATTTTGAAACGTAAAAGAAAAATAGATGAGATTTAATTCATTCGGATGCTGAAGTTTACAGCACAAGGAATTAAAAACCCGAATTGGGTCACTCACAAAAGTTCATCTCTAACCTAACCAAGAGAACTCTAGCCTAACTTGCAAAACATTCTCACAAGTTCTAGAGATAAAATATGAGACTGACAGCAAGACAACAGAAAACTGAATATTCTAAGCTTTTTAAAACCTTAGGCTAATCCCCATATTTATAGTGTTTAGAGGTTGCCTGTCAAATAAGGAAACGAACAATAAAAATAGAAAATTACAAAAGAAAAAAGAAACAAAATAAAATTACACATAAATTAGGAGAAATTAAATATATGATTTGAGGAGGAAATCCGGTAATTTGCTCTGATTTTTGGGGGAGAATTCAGATTCAGCATCTTAGAAGACACGTGTCGCCTAACGATTGGAGGAAGAGAGTCAAATCGCCACGTGTCGCACGCGGAATGGAATAAAGGTGCTGGCGGTTAGAGACAGCTGGTACCCGCTCGGACAGTTGGCATGCGCAGAGGGGAGGAGCAGACTGGCGCGCTGCACACGGGACCCACGCGGGAGAAAACTGGAACGCGCGCGCTGAGAGTTAGGCGTGCTGGTGACACGCACGAGAGAGAGTTGGGAAACGCGGATGAGCTGGGGCCCACGCTGTAACACCCTGAAGAATTAATTGGGATTAATTGAGATAATTAAGAATTATTAGTGTGCCTAATCTGGATTTATTAATTGGTTTTGATTAATAAATGTTTCTAATGTGTAATTTAAATAATTCTAAGGTATTTAAATATTCTCAGTAATTCTATTTTAACTCAGAAGTGTGTATGAGCGCATTTCTGTACTGTTTTTTTTAAATGCTGGTACTTGTCTATTTTCTTTTCTTTTCTTTTTCTTTTCTTCCTTTTTCTCTTTTCCTCCCGTGTCTCTCTCAGACCATTCCCTCTCTCTTTCTTCATTCTCTCACTCCCTCTCTCGGTTCTCTCTCCCGTTTGCTTCAAAATCAACCGGATTTCGAACCAAAGGAAAGTTTCAAAGAGTTTTCAACGTCAAGAGAAAGATTCAAGATAAGATTTCTAAAAAATCTCTCTTGAATCTCTAGATTTTGGATTCTAAAACTTATTTCTGGTTCGAAACGAATTTTTACGGATTTTGAGTAAAACTAGGGTAGAAATTGGAGATCTTGGGTTCAGTGGTAGTCCATTGAAATATTTTGGTTTGGGACTGGATTTGCAGGTTTTCGAACTAATTTCTGTGAGTTTTCTCGCACTGGAGTTCTTCACCGGTCGACTGATGCGGTCGACCGGACTACACTGAGGCCACCGGTCGACCAGATTGCACACCATCGGTCGACCGGTGGTGATGCACTGTTCTGTCACCGGTCGACCGGTTGACACGGGATTTGACCCTGTTTGGCCTGAAATTGTTGTTTTTGGGAAGAACTCAAATTAGCTTCATTTGGGGACTTGAGATAAGTGGATTAGCATCTTTAATCCTTGTTTTGAAATTGAAAATCCTTGGAATGATAATTTGAAACATGAAATCGGATTAGGGCACACTAATTGAAAATCTTGGTACATAATTGAGATTGGATTGCTTTAGGAATAAAAATTGATCCTAAAGTGTTGTCTTGTATCAGTGATAGCTGAGGATTCAGACTGAGTGGCTTGAGGAAGTGGAAGCTGAGATCGTGCGCCGCTAGCCACAGGTTTGGTAAATTTGAGGTAGGATTTCTATACTTTTTCTTGTGAGCCTGATTTTCAAAAAGAATTTTGGCATTGAAAATGTTTTAAAGAAAATGGTTGGTTTGCAAAAGAAAATCTCTTTAAAAACCATGGCTTGTTTAGTTCATGGAACCTCATGGCTTGCCCAGTCATGGAGCCCGCGGCTTGAGTAATTCATGGGGTCATATAAACGATTTCATAATGTTAAATGAATGATTTCTTAAGATAAGAGATCTTGTGAACCGGTAAGAATATATACTGCTGTAAACCTACATAGGATGCGGAGAGTGCATCCCAGGGGCAGAACTCGAAACTCGGTCCGGGTAGGCGAGGCACTTAGTAGGTGAGTAATTTGTACTAATTACTTGCTGATGCCTGTAATACGGTTATTTTTAGTTATATTTCCTTTGAGAAAAGGATGTAAGGTCCCGGCTGCCTGTCGGAACTGAATGTCTTATTTTATTTACTTATTCATTTATTTATTCGTTGCTCATTTATTATTCATTTATTTATACAGTCATTTCAAACTATATCTTATTGGGCCTTTCGCTCACGTTTTATGTTTTTATAAATATTAAACCCTTCCCAGGAGATTCTAGGAGTGGTGCACAGTAGTTGAATATTTGCTACAGAGTAGCTGAGTGGTGCTGTTGTTGGAACAAGAGAGGACTGTGTTCATCCTCTGACATAAATGTAAGGAATTGAGAATTCTGTAAACTCGTGTAATATCTGGATATACTAGACTGTGGTTGATGTCTGTTGTAATTGATTATTTACATGTTCATGTATGTACAATACCATATATCCTGTAGGTGGAGCCCTGTGTGTTGTCAGAGGCTCAGGACTTAGAAATTTATATTATATTTTAAATGCAGTTGAGTGGGGCTCGTTTGGAAATTTGCTTTGTTAACCCCTAATCGAGCTCCACGTCACCCACCCCGTTTGGGGGGTGTGACACACGCGGAGGGAAATGACAGTGGCTCGGCTCGGCTTGGTGGCTTGAATCGGCTTAGTGGCTCAGATTGGTTGAAAATATGACTTTCATGGCTTATTTTTGTGTAGCTTTCAACACTGTTTTTTATCTGTAAATAATTAAGTAAAAACTAGACAAATTCCAATTAAAAATATTATGAATAAAAATAATGGAATTGTTGTATTAAAGCTTAAATATTTTAATATTATATAAATCAAAAGCAGTATTTAAGGTGCATTTTCATGCACTAATCAGGACCCTAAGAGTTTTTGTCTCCTTTTCACTTTTTTAGGCCTTGTTCACTTCGCAGACTCGAGTTTTCAATTAGAGTTGAGATATTATATTTTCTTAGAGTTTTTAATTGTAGCAAAAAAGTTAGATGTGATATTTTTTGAAAGCTTTTAACTGTAGAAACTTAGAATTGAAAACTCAAATTAGTGAAATGAACAAGGCCTTATATTGTGTGTGGCTCACTAAATGCTTATTGCTGGTTTTATAAGTAAATATATTATTATATGAGAAAAGGAATAGCTTCCCACTTTTTATTTTCTCTTATGCAAAATAAACGTGTCTCAAAAATAATTTTGCTTTATCATCCTTTTTTCCCCACAGATTATTGGTTTTAATTTTGTTTGACCCTATTTCAAACAATATTATCAGTTTAAAATTCAAAAAAATTACATGTGAATGTACTGATCCAATGGCATAAAACCAACAATATATATTTTTTATTATACTTAGTCATAGTAATACTTAAATATATAAGTTTTCATCACCACTAATTTAGAAGAGTACATAAGTTTTCAACAGAAATTATGTGTTACCATAAACAAAATAAACAGAAATTGGGTGGGAAAATGGTATTTTTTAGCACTTTTGAAATAAAATGGCCGAAATTTTTGTTTTCTAAATAAATGGCTGAATTTTTTATTTTCTAAATAAATGACTGAATTTTGTTTATTTTAGCAAAATGCCCTTTTTTAATAGTCAATTAGTGATTGTTTAATAGCCAATCAATAATTGATCGATTCATTATTATAATTTATTAACAATTTATCATTAATAAATATGTAATAATTAAAATTGATTAATTATTAATTAATTTCAATTAATTATAAACTGATATTGATTATCGAGTTAACCAATGATAAATTTAAATCAATGAGTGATTTACCATTAAGTCTCAATGATTGATTATTAAGAGTATGTTCATTTGCACAACTCAAGTCATGACTTGAGTTGTGTATGTGAGGGAAAAATACTGTAACAAAAAAATTAAATGTATATTTTTATAAAAGAAAATACTGTCGTAATATAATTTGAGTCATAAAATGAACAAGACCTGAGTTATTATGATTGACTATTGAATTGAGTTAATAAAAAAAGGGTCATTTTCCTAATTTCACAAACCTTTTGGGGCTTTTTTTTAAAAAAAAAAAAAAATCCTTAATAAAGATCAATTCTATTACATCATTGCAAAAGAAAAAGGGTAAACAAACATTTTATTGAGATCAGATGTTCTACAAAAACCCTCCTAAAACCCTCTCACACATCCACCTCTTCATTCTGCCGGCCAGCTCGCCTTCCCCCACACCCCCCAACACCAGCCCATGTCCCCTCTTCTTCGCTTCCTCATCCGCTCTCTCCCACCTCACTCCCACCTCCACCGCCGCACCTTCGTCGACGCCGCCGCCTTCAAATGCGTCCGCGACCGCGGCCTCGACCACGCCGTCGAGCGAGAGAAGAACCTCCTTCCCCTAATCAACACTAAGAACCTCATCAAATTAGAGCCCTCCAAGTCCCTCCCCATCTCCATCATCGCCGACAACAGAGCCTCCCTCAAGATCCCCACCCGCCCCATCGAGTTCATCCGCCGATACCCCTCCGTTTTTCGCGAATTCTTCCCCGCCGGCGCCGCGTTTCAGCCCCACATCAAGCTTACTGATGAAGCCCTCGACCTCGACTCTGAAGAGCAGATAATGTTCCAGAGCGAGAGCTACAAGAAGGACGTCGCCGACCGGGTCTTGAAGCTCTTGATGCTCTGCAGAGGCAACAAATTGCCGTTGAATGTGATCGAAAACCTGAAATGGGATCTGGGTCTTCCTCCGGATTACGAGAGGAGCCTTATCCCCGAGTTTCCAGACTATTTTCGAATTGTGGGCCGGGAGGAAACGAGGGTGTTGGAGCTCGTTTGCTGGATTGATGAATTGGGGACTTCAATTATGGAGAAGAAGGCGATGGGCGGGGTTTCGGATTATGCCAAAGGGATGCCTATAGCGTTTCCTATGCATTTTTCTAAAGGTTTCGAGATGGATAAGAAGTTGAAGAAGTGGGTGAGCTATTGGCAGAAGCTGCCTTACGTTTCTCCTTATGAAAATGCGGATTACCTTTCCCCGAAAAGCGACGAATCGGACAAGTGGGCGGTCGCGGTTTTGCACGAGCTTCTTCATATTTTGGTTCCGAAGAAGACGGAGAAGGAGAACGTGCTGTGCCTTGGCGAGCATTTGGGGATTCGGTCGCGGTTTAAGCGAGCATCGCTTAACCACCCTGGTATTTTCTATCTGTCAAGTAAGATTGGAACTTACACTTTGGTTTTAAAAGAGGGTTATAAGAGAGGTTTATTAATTGAGAATCATCCTTTAACGAGTATGAGGAGTAAGTATATTCACCTTATGAACACTGTAAAAGAAGATAGTAAGCTGATAAGTGTGCCGGGTGGTAGTGGAAATGCTAAAAAACAGAAGAACATTGATTCTGAATCAAAAGGAGAAATGGATGGAAAAGAGGAAGACAATGAAGGGGTATTGTATGACTCCTCTGATGCTGAAGAGGCTGAAGATGGCGCTCTGCGTGGTGTTGCGAAAAATACTACGGCTGCAAATAGTAGACTAAGAACAAGGAAAAAGGATGCGAAAGGGCGAGTCGGAAATCGTGAAAGAGGGAGAAGATCGGCTGGAGAACGTTCTGGCAAGGCTGGAGAAAGAGTTTCTCCTATGGTTTCTACGAGTATGGAAATGCAAGGCAGAGGTTCGAGAGCGAGGCTTAATCTCTCTAAAAGCAGGGGAAGGGAGGCGCCAGCCAAATTGCCAAGTTAGCTAAGATACAGCTAATTTGCTGCAATAATGTATTTACAGGTTTTCTTCCAAGTCTGTTGGTTTATTTACATTAAATATGTCTGCTTTTTATAGTTTCTTTGATGGAGATGATTAATCACATTCACAATGTGCGGATTTGGGTTTAAGTATGGAAAACTAACAGAAGGGTTGTGTACCTTAACTTAAGGACCTAACAGCGGAATTTGTTACGCAAGCATCATAATGTGGCATCAAAACAAAAAATGTAGAACAAAAAGTAGGAGGCTAGAAAAGTTTAGGATTTTTTATTGTTAGATATTAAGAATGAGAATCTCAAATATTTGCAAAGTGCACCCTTATGTTTGTTTTTTCGAAAAATGATAAAGAAGACACTTTACCCAAGTGTTTTACCCTTTTGATTGGCACTATCTCCCTCACATTAAGAGGTTTAATAATTGGTCTCTCGTTGGAAAGCCTCTCTAGGAAGCAAAAGTTTCATCATTGAAAATATACACTCACACACATACATTTCTGTGAAAATGAAATCTTTACAACTTTGAAATGGAGAATAAGATAATAGGTAGGTCTTGGGATAGGGATGATAAGAAAGCTATGGTCAAGAGCCCCTTGATGGTAGTTCACTTGTGGGAACTGCTTTACTGTAGAGGATATATTTTACTGGCAAAGTTAGTCAATGGAGAATTGCATATTATAAGAAGTTGAATTTGCAAACAGATTAAACTACAGGAGATGATTTTCGAAATTTCCAACTCTATTACGCACATTGCTAATTAAATTGGTTTTTGACAAAACTAAGACAAGAATATTATAGGATTTGGCGTCTTGCCTATGGCTACAGGTGGAGGTGACCAGGAAATAACGATAGTGTTCCAAGGAGATTATGAAAGAGGGTTTGATCTTAGCTAAGTCTCCACTTCTCCCGTCACCCTTTAAGCAAACAATTGCTTAGTTTTCTGTTTAAGGCATCAAAGGACAAGCATTTATAGGGTAGCAAACTTAAGGGCAGGTGTATGGACTTGGGTTCCAAGTCCTGGAACAATTCGTGGCCTTTAGAGAGATGCTGTAATGGCGTTGCAGCTGTTAGGAAAAAATCTAGGCTAAACCTAAATTAATTACCGAGAACGAAAAGTAATTAACGAAAATAAAAGCAAAAATCAACACCAAGAATTTTATACAAGTTCACCAATTTGGCTATGTCCTCTTTCTGCCGCTGCAGATTTCACTATATTGTTGAAGAAAATCAAATATAGAGAATTATTCAATCGGTCACTTGTATTTCTCACACATTCAACAGTGTTTCTCTCAGCCTCTTACTCTAATTTGCTCCCAATCAATCGTCACAAATAAATCCCTTAATGATAGGTATTTATATTGTACAAGAAATAAGAGAAAAACATACTCAAAACTTGTCCTCGTTGAGAAATCCATAGCGCCCCTTCGAACTGGCACTGCGGCGACCTTGTCCAGCGCTGCGGCGCTGCCTGCTGATGCTCCTTTTTGTCGTTGCTTTTCCTCCACGGTGATAGGCTCCATCAACATAACAACAGCCTCACGTTGGATTCTCTAAATTGAATATGGCTGGTTATAATGAGCCACATTGCTCTCTAGGATTTGGAGCCCAAGCTTTTGGTCCTTTCATTACTAGACTTCCCTATGAGTATTTATGTGCACTTTGACTAAAAGGAATGAGCGTTAAGAGGGCATAGGCTGGATATAATAGGGGATTGATTTGTCTTTCTTGTTAGTTTTTGCTTCCTGTTTCTTGTTTTTGATTCAGCTTTGTGCCTGCTCTAGTTTTTGTCTTCCCGGAGGACTCCTTGTCCTCTTTCTTTGTATTGAGCTTTTTTCAATATAAAGTTTTTCCTTATCAAAAAAAAAAAAAAAAGTTAGAGGGCATAGGCTTAGTGCGAGGGCTTCCTAGTTCTTCTGAGTGTTGGGCCACAGATAACTAGTATACATGTCTAGTAATCTCCTTGCTTTCCTACTGAAATTTCCTTCTTATCTTTGTTTATGAATGTAGGTCATGGCCAAACCAAATTAATTTTTGCCCTTGTAATTTCTGGCTCGTTGTAGTTTCTTTGAAGAAGAAAATTACCATTGGTTGGCATTTCACTCTGTCTTTCCACTTCCCTATAAAGCGGACACGAAACTCTCGGATGTTTGTTTTGGCATTTATTATGAAAGGTTTGAGCCGCACCAATCTTTGAAATTTTGAATGAGTTTAACTTATTTGTATGTGACTTTACTTTAGTTTCTAGTAAGTAGTATTATACACACACAAATTGAAAATATACCGAGGAACAACCACTTTGCATGAATCAGAAAGCACACAGGCTTTCATTTCATAATTTGAACAGTAGTGTACTTATTAAGTAATAGAGGTGAGTAGGTCAACAATATAGCCAAATTCTAAAGAATTGTCAATGTTTATAGTCCAGAATTATAGATATAAGGGTATTACTTATAGGACGCTGTCCCCTTCTTGGTGTGTGTTGCGTAAGACGAGTGCAAAATATTCGAGTCATTCATTGTTTCACTCTGATTTGTTGCAAAAGATATGGTTAAGATTTGCTTAGGTGGCTGAAATGAAATAGAGTATTTCCAAGTTGGTGTGCTGATTTGTTCATAAGGGAGTCATGTGTTTAGTAAAGCTCCTCAGGTTAAGATTCTATCTAGTTGGGCAATGCTTCCTATCTTTTGTGCACGTTTGGTTAGGAAGGAACAAAAGGAATTTTAAGGGGTGTTTGAGTTTGAAGGATAATATCTTTGGGATCGAATCAAGTAACGGATCTGCATATCGATTCTAAGTCGCGAGGAGTTTTGCCGTTTTGGAATTCTTCTCTTTGTAGATAGGTTTGTTGTCTTGTAAAATTCTTATGTTCTCAACAAAGAAAAGCTTTACAATATGAAATATCAACAATGCTCTACCATACGTATAAAAAAGAAAGAAGAAAAAGAAAAGCTCTAGCATAACATGAAAAGGGATTTATTTTATTTCATACAAATTTTATTTTTTGCAGTGTTTCTTTTCGTCCTGTAGTTACTTTCTCTTCATGTTCAATAGATGATAAAAGTCATTGTCATGCAGCCTGGAACAAGGGCTGGATCAAACAGACATTGGAACTGCTCTAAGGAAACACAGTTAGTTCATGCTGGAGCAAATCTTTCTTTTTGGCGGCAATGCGGTTGTAAGACCGACCCGTCTTTTGAGAAATATCCTGCAATGTCTTCATTACCATGGCTGGATACTCCATTTTCTCCTCTTGCTTGTGGTCAGGCTGTGTTGCAGGAAAGCAAGAGAAACCGTTGGGAAAAAGAAATGTGGGGAAATCATCTCATAAAGTTATTGATTCCTGAGTTTTGAACTTGTGATGTTTGTACATACTCCTCAGGAAGTTCATTAACTAGATTCTTTCAGCAATAGCTTTTGTGCTTTTACTTTTATCTTTTTATTTTTTCCGTTTGCAGTTTCCGTGGATATAGGGAAAATTTATAGCTCGGAAGGTTTGAACTGCGTGTGTGTTTTAAAGGAAATTCCAAATCAAGGAAATACAAACACTAATATCACTAGGGGTGGCAATTCGTATCACGTGTCGTATACGTGTTGTGTTTTGATCGTTTTTTTTTTAATTTGCAGTCAACCCGAACACGACCAGTGACACGAAATTTTTTAAAAATCGCAACACGAACACGACACGACCACTTTATAAGTTGACACGACACGACTCGAAAATGACCCGTGACACGAAATTGACCCGTGAATTCGAAATTGACACGAAAATTATATACTTTTATTTAATTTTTTACATATTAGAAATAATTTAAAATTTATAACACATTAAATTACAATAACATCCATTGAAATTAAGCAAATAACAGTATAAAATTTTGAGTATAACTATCATGATATCACAAGTTTTTAATAAAATTTAAAATATGAAATAAAAAATATATGTATTTTTTAGTTTTTTATGAGTTTCGTGTCGTGTTCGGGTTAGGCGGGTCCAACCCGAAATTGACATGTGTTTTTCGTGTCAATTTCAGGTCAACCCGATTCTGACCCGAATCTCTTTTTTCTCAATCCTAACCTGTAAAATTTGTGTCGTTTTCAAGTCGTGTCGTGATCCATATTATCAGCCCTAAATATCACCTACTTGGTATAAGAAAGTGAGGATTAAAGATTAGTTGTATCTAATGATTGCTTAAGGATTTTGTATGTTAGGTCGAGACATTAGGTGGAAAGTATTTAACTGTCAAAGTTTCTCTTAAATTATTAGATGTTTGGATTTTATTTTATTTTTTTTCTAATTTGATGAATTCTGATGGAAAGTTTATATAGTGGGGCATTAGACGGCTCAGAGAAATTTTACGCTATCCAACAAAATGACATTAGTAAAATGATTCTTTCATTTTTGTGACTCGGTCATTCTTTATAAAAAGTTGTCGTTCAGTAGACATTTTATAAATAAATTTTTTTTAAGTTATTTTACTAAAAAACTTTCTTATTAAGTCATTTTTATAAAAAGCTCGCATACCCATATTCCGAAATTTTCTTGTTAGGCTTTTACAAAAAAGAAAATGAAGAAAATGTTGTTGGGCATATTTACAGGTTGTTTCATCAATTTTCTTTTTTTTATTAATGACTCTTTCTAGTAGAGTCTTATTATTTAACGGCTAAAGATAAAAAATTATTGATAATTAATTTTTTCTGATCTTAACGTAGAAATTTCCTTTTTGTTATTGTTATTTCTTTTTGAAAATAGGTCATCGAATTATACTTTAGGGGGAATAAAATAATCAGCAACATAGTTCCCAAATTATATATATATATATATACATATATACATATATATATATGTGCATTGTGATACTTCTTGAATTTTTTGGTAAATTTCTCTTTCAAATTTTTTTTACTGTAATTTTGGTCCATGACGCTAAAATTAACATAAAAGATTTATGAAATTTAATAGAGAAAGTTATATGCCTATCGTATAAGAGACACGAAATTTAAAAAAAAAAAAAAAAAAAAAAAA